TTAAATTCAAGTCAGGACATGACAGGAAGCTAAAAGTTTATGTAACAAGATAAAAGTTTCAGTTCCTTTACCCCTCCGGATTGACAAATCTGCTGGATCAAGCTTGTTAATCCTGATTTCTTCTTAATCCGGAAGGCCGTCTTTCACCCTTCACCGTTGTTCGCAACGGCCTTGCAACTATTGTAGCGGCACAATAGTTGCAACTCGGAGTGTTCTCTGTTACTCTGTAACTCGTTGTCGTTTTCCAATCTCGATTTCGTAGTTGTTGTTAGCGCAGCTAATGTTGTTCTGTTTTTCTTTCTTGTTTTAGCCAAAATGGCCGTTTCTGACGTTTCTCAGAAATATGACGTCATAATTCGAATTTTTGAAATTTTAAAATACCAGAATATTCCAGCCTTCACCGTCTGGCCAATCGTTCCAATAACGTTCTTAGTTCTTAATAATCCCCAATCCGGAAGGCTCGCTGCTAAAAATTCGAATTCTGCAGAGATTGCATTTTTCACATTCTGGTCGAATGTCCCACTTTGATTTTTGTTTAGGATTTTTGACCCGAGAAGTACACTTTTGCTTTTATTGTTCCTATGTAGATAGAATTTTAAAAAAAGGTAAATTATAAAAAGGGGCCCTGCCGTTTAAGCACGGTCGTGCACAAGCTGGATAGGGCCAATACGAGCATTTTATAAATACATCAATAAAGAATCTTGCAGGAATTAACTCTACCAGCATTTAATGCTGTGACATTAAAAGAATTTACTGCAACCGTCCCTAGACTTCCCAACCATCCAAACCGATAGAATTTAACTAGAACTATCCTCAAATGTTGCAATCGCAATTTAAATGTAGAAGAACTCAGGAGCATCTTTGCTTTTTTTCTTAGCATCAATTATCTTTTTTTATCAATTGAGTGTTACGCGCTAATTATACTTGTTCCTGTAGTAGTAGTAGTAGTAGTAGTAGTAGTGTAGGCTTTAGGATTTCTCCATGGGTTTTGAACCCTCGTTTATAAGTTCATAATTTTTCCCGGTGGGTTGCAGTTTCCACACCAGCAAAGAATTCTCCACATACACAAGTTGTTTTCTGCAAAATTTCTGTTGAAGAATTTCCAAAACGTGTTTGTTATAGATATTTTCAGGCTGTCATAATCTTGATTTTCGAAGTCCACAATTTGGCTAAAGTAGTTGTATAGCGTATTAGAACGTATATAATAATTTTCATTTGACTTTTTCAGTCTTGTTGCATGAACAGCAATCTCACCACGTGTTGCTTGTCTCGTTCGTGATTCGTTTTTATGAATAATTGTATTCAAATCAATGTCATGTTTATTTTTTAGTAGTGAAACTAAGTACAATATGTCGTGTAATTCAAAGTACATTGAGAGTGGAAGGAGCTTTAAAAATTTCAGTCTTTCAGTATAACTCATTTTGAAGTTATTTGTAATCCAAGATGTCGCTCGTTTTTGTACTCTTTCTAGTTGTCTTAATTCTGCTTTGTTCGGATACCATGTTTGCGATGCATAGCTTATGATTGGTACGATGTATCCGCAGTATAAGTTTAATTTTGACTTTAATGATGTTTTTTTCGAGATATTTCGTTTGATTTTGTAAAAAGCTCCCATTGCTTTTGATATGCGATTTTCAGCATTTACTGACCACGAAAGGTTGTCACACATTAAAATACCTAAGTCTTTTTGGGTCTTTGCGGTATCAACATTTGTATTAAATAGTGTAACTTCCATTTTCCCTTTGAGGTTTAACAAATTACATTTATCTTCATTCAGCGGCATTTTATTTTCTTTGCACCATTTTTCAACATTTGCCGTGTCTTTTTGCAGATAAATTTCTTCAGTAGACAAGATCTTCATATCGTCACAATAGCCAAAACAATCTGAATTCTCAATGCATTTGGGAAAGTCGTTAATGAATATGATAAAAAGTAGAGGGCCAATAATTGAGCCCTGTGGTACACCGCTAGTTACTTCTTTCAGAGTTGATGAACTTTTATTGATTTTCACAAACTGCATTCTATCTGTTAGATAGTCTTGTATTATGTCTTGTATTTGAATGCTTAGACCTATGTTCCGTAGTTTGGCGACTAGGATACTATGAGGAACTTTATCAAAGGCTTTAGAAAAATCTAGATAAAGGACTGATAGTGTTTGAACATTTTTGTCTTCGTAGAGTTCATATACTTTGCTCAAAAATTGTACCATTTGTAGTACTGCTGACCTTTTTTGCCGGAAGCCGTATTGTGCGTTTTCCAGGAAAGGTTGAACTTTGGGGTATATATTATCAAAGATAATTTTTTCGAAGACCTTCGAGGCGGAGCATAAGAGGCTAATTGGGCGGTAGCACTCGACTGACGCCTTGTTCTTTTCTTTAAAAATTGGGGCCACTTGACTTGTTTTCCAGTAGGTCGGGAAGAGCCGCTGGTTAATGAATAGGCGGAAGAGAAGATAGAGCGATTTTGACAGAGTTTCAGAAAAATTTTTTAGGATTATATTACCTATACCATCAAAACCTGACGCTTTATTTGTTAAAAGATTTTTGAGAATGTATTGGATTTTGGTTTCTTCAATGTGTATTTGTGTACAGATTTCTTCTGTAGGAGAACAGTTTGTATTTCGTGCGAGAGGGTTAGGAATTGATTCCTTTTGATATACACTGATGAAAAATTCGTTAAAAAATGTAGCTTTTTGGGTGTCATCTCTTGTGGATTTTTCCTTGTAGAACATTTTTTGGGGATATTTCCTGGAACTACTTATTTTGTTCAAGTATTTTTGCAGGTCACTGAATCGTCTACTGCTTGTTACTGTTTCTTCGTAAATTGCTTGATCTTCAGTCAATGCTATTTGAAGATTTTTTTCCAGTTTTTTGTGTTTTAGGATAATGCTTAAATTAGGTTTGTTTTGCCGATCGATACGCCGTTTTAAGGTTTGTACTCTTTTTAGCATGTGAGACGTACTTGGCTTCACCCATGGGGGGAGAGTTGATCTGTGTGATGTAACCTTGGGTACATTGTTCTTTATTTTGTCCCATAACCATGCATACCTCTGACGAAGGAGCTCATTTACATTACTGTAACAATACGGTATGAAAGGTTTGTCTTTTATTTCTTGATTTATTATCTTCCAATCGGCTCTGTTAAACGCCAGACTTTCATCTTTGTTTATTTCTTTGATACTGGCTTCCATGTTAATTGTTGCAGAGTAAGCATAATGATCTGAGCAAGAAACTTTGTCGATGCTGTATGCGTTTGTTGCTGAATGGTCCGTGTGCCAGTTGAGTATTACTCCAGGGTTGTTTGTTAATAAAACATCAAGCTGCTTGTTTTTGGAGTCGAATAATTGTTCATAGTCAAGTTTAATGAGCTTTTTTAACACTGCATTTTCATATTTGTCCTTTGAGTGCATCATTTTCCAATGAGTGTATTCAAAATTTATATCTCCCGTAATCGACACTGAGTTACAGTTGTGTTGTATTTGTAATTTTGTTAGGTTTTCGAACAAACTGATGAAGTTTTGTTGTTTCCATTGGTATTTACTGTCTCTGCCATTCAGATTTTGGCAGAATTAGAATGTATTGGCAGAAATACATCAATAAAAATCTTGCAGATTTTGGCAGAATTAGAATGTATTGGCAGAAATACATCAATAAAGAATCTTGCAGTAATTAAATCTACCAGCATTTAATGCTGTGACATTAAAAGAATTTACTTCAACCGTCCCTAGACTTCCCAACCGTCCCAACCGATAGAATTTAAATAGAACTATCCTCAAATGTTGCAATCGCGCGCTAAAATGTCGAAGAACTCAGGAGCGTCTTTGCTTTTTTCTTAGCATCAATTATTTTTTTCATTATCAATTGTTTTTTACGCGCTTATTAGACTTGTTCAAGTCTCTGCCATTCAGATTTCAGCAGAATTAGAATTTGTGAATTCTCAATAAAAATCTCAAGTGCTAATTTAATTGAATCTACTGTGCAAGTTGTCCTGCTATGATTTCTGCCAGAGATGTTTCGGTAGTTCAGTTTTTCTGTGAAACTCAACATTTCTTTGTTACGTGAAGGGTGAAGAAGACTTGTTTTTCGGAGGATCACAACAGTTATTTTATTGTGTTTTGTCTGTTAATTCTGTAGTAGAATTTTACCACAAAACAGTTTTGGTGTTTACATTCTGTTTCGCTACTTAAGATTTTTGGGAGAGCAATATTCAGTTATTGAGTCAGAGGCGTAGTCTGTATGTTTTGTTCGCTCTGGCAATGAAGTTTGAGCAGCTGCAGATAGTCAGTTATATTTGTCAATAAATAAGTCAATAAAAAAAAATTTGTCAAAAAAAACTGATACGGCTTGGCCCAACGGCTTGGATGACACGCTAGTGGTAAAACCTCAATATCAGTAGCGGCATTCTTGAAGAAAGTTCTATCGGAAAAACAGTTTGCGCCATTTTTCAATTACTCAACACTGATCATTATGTCATCGTATTTCGTCATCGGTTTCTGTTTATTCAAGTCTTCTAGAGCCAGAAAGTCCAGAAAGACCGATTTTTATTGTAATGGGACAGAACTAAGCCCAAGGTAGCAGTCACCCACAAATGGAAGTAGTGAAATAATACTGCAAATTGGAAACCTTGAGCTTTGAAGACAAAACGTCCTCCCTCCCCATAAACTGCCCTTCTGACATAGTTTTTAACAATGAACCTATCGCAAACATAATTAAAGCAGCAATAGTTGAACTGCAGTTCAGGCTTCCGCGAAATTTCGTTTCGGGAAAACTGTTTAGATTCACATTTTGTCTATACACTGAAAAAAGTGATTCAAGATTGATTAGTTAAGGTCAGCTGAAGAAAAAAAATTAAACAAAATTTGCCGACGATTGCTGTTAGTTAAGTCTGAAAATAAATATACTTGTATGCAAGCAACTTGAGCATCAAAGTAAATTGAAGTTCTCTTTGTAATATAAATCGATCAAACATCAGACGCGTTAATTCATTTTTGTTTCAGATATAATATTGATTGTCGTGTGCATTAGATAATTCAGAGTTGTTCGTTAATTTTTATCGTTCTATCTTTGCACTGAGGTATATTGGTGACAAAGCCAAGAATATAAGAATATTGTTCATGCAGACTTGAGATTTGTGCCACTATGAGTGTTCGCAGCGGAAGACGCCGTGGTCTGCCTGACACGGATGAAGACACTCCTAGAAGCGCCGATTCGGGCGGCTCCTCGGCAATAGACGACGAAACAGAAGAGTCTCTGATTGCAAAACGCGTGGAAAGATTGGCTAGTTCTTTACAGGTTTGATAGTTTTTGAAGTTTTATTCGATAAGCAACAAATCGGGACATTGACTTGCTATGTCAAATGTAGATTTCAGATAAGTGTTACTTACAATCTATATAATAGCGTTTCTTGAAAAAAGGGGATTCAATTTGGCGAAAATAATTTTTCATTTTATGATATGATGTAGATCTCCAATTTTATCAAAAAGTTACTTCAAAGAATATAATATTTTGTTTAAAAAAGAAGCATAAGAGAACCTAGAAGTATAAACTTTACTTCGATGCAATGTTTTATTTGTACCTTTTGAGTGACTGAAGAAATAAAATTCTTTTTACTGTAAAAATAGAATAAGCGGAAAAATAGCTATAGTGATGTAATATTTTCCATTCAGGATACTGGGAAAAATCTGAGGAATGTGAGTGGCATGCTAGAGGAGTTCAAAGACAGAGACCAAGACAGAGGAGCTGCTATAGACCACGTCAGTTTCATTCAATAAAAACAAACATCAACTTCAAAACTCATTATTTCTAATTATCCTTTTTGGTTTCTGCAGCTAAGAGTTGAGCTTCAGCAGTCTACGGAACTTCTACGCGAGGAGCGGAGAAGATCAATCAAAGAGCGAGAGAGATTGAAAATACCCGGTAGATTAGATATTTTCCCTGTTTTATTTTAACATAACCACTGCGATGAACTGGATGAAAAGCATTTGCAGCTATGTCTCTCATCAGAGCAAATGTATCTAAAATTGCCCTTTTTAGCGTCCAAACCTTTTAGAGATCAATATTACTCATTTTACCGATTATTTGGCGTTATATAGCCACTCACTGTAATTGAATACCAGTCGTTTTCCAGGAGTGGCAAGAGGACGTTCGATGTCTCCTAGATTTGCTAGACGAGTCGAGATGGTAAGTACATCTAGTAATAATAAGAATGATTGTTGCTTGATCTCACAGCATGAAATTAACTGTATTCACGTTTTGCCAGCATGCCACTCACGGAGTAATGCCTGAGTCACATGTTCGCCCGCGCTCAAATAGATCTGTTAGCATAATTAACTGCATTCATACACAATTTTTGAAATCACTGTTTCTTTATGCTTACTGAAGTTTCGGTAATATGAGTAGGTTTCGCCAGGAATACTCGGCTCTCGTCGTTCGACGGGACAGCAGTATCGCCAGTATACGTCAGGTATCCCGCTGCATCTTCCGGGGGATCTGGGAGGCAACGGGAATATCTGGAATGATATGCCTGCTAGTGATAGGTCCGGCGGAGATGAGACCAAACAGTTGCTGCAAGAACTGGTCGAGAATCAGCGGAATCTTTTGCAAGTGCAAGCGCAGCCTCAATTGATGCAGCATCCGCATGGTTACAACAATGTTAGTTTGGTAATCATTAATTTCTTGGGTTCTGTAACGAGGACCGAATACTCGATGTTGACGCCAAAACTGAACTTTAAATTGCTAATGGCTTTTCCACATGACGGATAAAAATGTAGTGGCGGAGATGCTAGCCATGTAAACGTAGTTCAATATTTGGGAGAATATTTTGAATGTAAATAAGTCAGTCATAACACTGTGCTGCTGATTTCAGCTTTTCCGTAAGTCTTTTGATTTTAGTTAAATCTCTGGTGATTTTAGAGGACAGGACTCTGGTTCCCTTTCTTAGTCTGGAAATATCTATTCAGTTTGAACAATTGAGAGCTCAATTTTCCAAAAAAATGATTAGTTTTTTATTTTAAGGAGAACGATAGACTAGCACAGCTGGAAAGTATGTTGACCAAGTTGCAGAACGACATGAAAGTGTCGAAGAGCGGATCAAAGGTATCTGGGAGGCAGTTTGAGAATCCAGACATCTCCGAGGAGCTGAGAAAGGTAAATGCTGACTGTGCCTGATAATTTTAAGTTTTTCAATGTTAATTTTAGTCATGCAAAAAATTTAACTGAAAAAAAATTTATTTGTAGCGACAATCGATGTTATTTGATTACAGTAATAGATATGACAAGAAATGCTTTACTTTTGATTTTGTATTTTATTTGCAACTAGTAGCTACTAGGTAAATAAAAATAAAACCGGCTCCAAAGAGTTTACAAAAGATACATAGCTTTTTTAGCGTCTAATTGTAAATTTTTTAAAAATTTTAATGATTTGCCTAGGAAATGATGAACGGTCATGTCACCCCACAAATTAGGAGTCCCAGGGCTAACACAGGTGGCAGCCAAAGAGCCACCAAGTACTCCTCCTCCACATCAGCGCCCGAAGACGAGAGAGAAGCGAGCAGTGAGCAGAGCGAGAGGAATCTCAAAAGAAAACTCATCAGATCAGAGTCGGCTATTGCAGAGGTAATTTTTGCAATATTTATATTATTTGCTCGTAAGCAGCTTTTATCTATTCCATAACTTTGCTACCTTTTTTAAATCATAAATCTGTTTCAAATCAAAGCATATCGAAATTGGGATATTTTTGTTCCGACTATTGAAAATTGGGAGGAACTTTGAATTCGGGTCTGTTTTAGTTTTTTTTTTCGTTTTCCACGCAAAATCAGGTACCACAAATAATGATCGGACTGGGTTGAGTGATATATCATATTAAAGCCCTTACAGTCGAGATTCGAACCACGAACATTTCAAAAAAAGTTTACCTAGTGTCGAGAAAAACCGTTTCGAAATTTTTGATTTTTCATCTAATTTCGAGCGAATCAAGCGAGCAAGCAGTCTATTTTTAATTGCTTAAAACTTACAATAGCTTATTTTAAAACGTAAAATTTGGTTTTTCTTGGGTAATGTTAGTTCACTTTGGGTGTTTTAGCGCCTTTTTGGAATCAAAATTTTCAAAAAACTGCGAAAAACCTGAAAAAGTTTTCGAAAATTTATTTTTTGATTTTTTGTTCGTATTTCTAGTAATTTGTCTACAAAAATTGTTTTTCATTTTGCTTATTTTCGTATGGCTATCGAATATACCTAATCACCAGTTTCTTGTTCAGCTCCTTTTATCCCACCATGTCGAAAAAAACGTCTATAGTTTGAAAAAAAATGTTGTTTTGTAAGACTATGGTCGGAAATTCTGTGCTACTTGCACAGTAACCGGCTATCCTTGTTCAGTTAACGAATTGAAAATACTTATTATACAAGCTCAGTATAGTGTTACTATAAGGCCATTTTTTCCAACCTAAGTCGCAAATATTAGTGGCATTTTGCAGCAGGTTGCTTTCCAGTTCATTAGCATGTCCTTTGAGATTCGATTAGTAGTATGTTTACGCGTACGATTAGCAAACGTTATCAAATTGGAATAGACTTTTTTCGGGCTAACAACTAGTTAAACAAAATCAGTTGAGTCAATTGCTGCTGTCATGCTCAATTTCATGAACATTTAAATTTAACTACTGGGTGCAATGTTTGTGACTGGGAACTTTTTCAGAATTGAATGGATTTTTTTGGCTTTATGGATTTCGTCCCAGCTTTTGTCGGCTTACTTGCCGGATGTTTTAACTTTTTAATAATTTTAATTAATTGCTTGCATTAGATTAAACTCAAATACAATGTGAGGTTTTGGGTTCTATTGAAACAACAAGCTATGGAAGGCGCCCTGCAATAAAGTGGAAAAAACTTATAGTGCCGTTGTAGCTGCTGAAACCACCACCCGGATAAATCAAGCTCAAACCACTCAACATGCTGCCAGATCTAACTCTGATCACAACATAAATCAAAGTTTTAGGATACAAGGGGTCAAAGAGGACCCTGAGAAAACAAAAGGAGAAAACCTTGTCCCAACAAATGACGAAGTAAACGAAATACTAGACATAATTGGAGTGAAGCCGAAAATAATAGAACTAAAACGACTGGGAAAATTTGATCGTAATCGAATGAAGCCAAGAACACTGCTGGTAACTGTACCTAGCGAACATGAAGCACGACTAGTACTAGCAAAAAGCCGAGAAAAGCGAGAACAATTGGTCGAAAAAGAGGTCTACCTGCTACCAGCATTGACCAAAGAGAGTGCAGTTAAAGAGAACGAAATCCTTAAGAAACGAAGACAACTACTAGATGAAGGCGTTCCTCGCGAAAAGCTGAAAATAAGGAATCTAGAATTGTTCAATGATGGTGTGAAAGTAACTATTGACACTGAAGTTCAGGAACCCCAGCATTGACTAGGATTCCTCAACATTCTGCAACTAAATACTAGAAGCCTAATCAACATAGAGAGAAGAACTAAGCTAGCAAATGCAATTGCAGTTGGAAATTTTAATGTCATATGCTTAAGCGAAACTTGGCTTAACGAGAATATTCAATCATCAGAGCTTTTTCTAAGTGAATATAACATCTATAGATCTGATAGAGCTATTGTGAGTGGTAAAAACTGTCACGGAGGCAGCCTAATAGCTGTCAAGAATAGTCTAATTACCGAGGACTTATCCACCAAACATGACATTCCTGATTCATGTGTGCTATGTAGTATAAAACTTCATCAAACTGAAATGATAATTGGCTCATTCTACAATCCGCCAAAAAACAGTAATTACAGATACAAAGTGCATGAATTTGAACAACTGATCAAAGCCATTCCTAAAAACAAACCGTTTCTCTTATGTGGGGATTTAAATTTCCCAGAAACAAACTGGAACACCCTCACCAGTACTGACGAGGAAGAAAACCAAATACTGCAAATTTTTGAAAATGGACTCTTTAGGCAGGCGATAGATTTCCCAACATGTGTGAAGAACATACTAGACGTAGCCTTCTATCGGAATTGCTATACAAGTGCCGAACAAGATTTTAACGTTTCCAAGATTTATGACTGCTCAGATCACAATGCCATAATGTTGTCTATTGAATGCACGGTATCAGAGCCGAAACCATACTTGGAAAATTTTAGAAGTTTTGGAAATGCCGATTTTGAAGGAATAAACAATTTTATAAACGAGAACCCATTTGAACCAGTATGCCACACAAACATTAACAAAATGCATGAGGAGTACACCCAATATTTGGATGAAATCATTAAGAGTTTTGTGCCTCTCAGAACAAGACATAGGCAATCACTTCCACCTTGGATAACAAGTAGCACTTCAAATTTGATCAAAAAGTTACAAACAAAACGGCAATCATGTATACTCAAACCGACCAACTACAGAAGACAACAAGTTAAACTGTTTGAAAATTTAGTAACTGAATCATCGGAAGTGGACAGGAAAAACTACCAAGAGGAATTGTTTAGAACACGGAACACTAATGTAATTTTTAAACACCTAAAGAACTTGAATAAACATACAAGTCTTCCTAAGTTACTCATAAAAGATGAAGTTGAAAGCACAAATCCAAACGAACAAGTCAACATGCTAAACGACTTCTTTCATTCAGTTTTTAATCCTAAAGAAAGTTTTAGTATTAGAGATATTCAATTTGGAAATCCCTTGTTAACGAATTTTGATATATCGAAAAAGACAGTAAGTGAGATTTTATCAACTCTGGACGTAACAAAGTCACGCGGCCCAAATGGGTTGCCACCTAGCTTTTTTCAGAAAACGAACCGCAATATATGCAAACCGATGAACAAAATTTTGAGAAACGTAAAACGCCTACGAAAAATACCTGATTCATGGAAAACAGCTGCAGTTACTCCTGTTCACAAAAAAGGTGACCGAAAATTGGTGAACAACTATCGACCAGTATCGCTATTAAATATTGACAGCAAAGTCCTTGAAAAATGTATATACAAAGACCTGTACCCTTACTTTGCCTGGTATTTGACGAAACATCAACACGGTTTTACTAAAGGTAGATCAGTTTTGACAAACATGCTCTCCTTCCTGAAAGAAATATATGAAGCGCTTGACAATGACTCAAACGCAGAAATTGTAGCAGTCTACACTGACTTTGCAAAAGCCTTTGATAAAGTTCCGCATTTTGATCTACTCAAGAAAGTTGCACTTATAGGAATAGGAGGCTGCATGTTAGAGGTACTCTATGACTATTTGAAAAACAGGAAACAGTTTGTACGAGTAGACAATATCAGCTCAAAAGTTTTAGAAGTCACTAGTGGTGTTCCCCAAGGATCACTTTTAGGACCACTGCTCTTTTGCATTTTTATTAACGACCTACCTGAAGTACTCAAATTCTCTGAACCATATATTTTTGCGGATGATCTTAAACTACTTTCCATCAAAAAAACATCAATTGAAATTCAAGAAGATCTGGACAAAATTCAGCAGTGGGTAACTGAAAACAAAATGGAATTAGCACTAGATAAATGTGCAAAAGTAAGTTTTAGGGGCGGAGACGCCAACTCTATGCTTTTTGGTGTAGTGCTTGGAACATCGATGGTTGTGAAAGATCTGGGAATTTTTGTGTCGGGCGATTTAAGTTGGAAGGTACACATTGAAACAAGATTAAAGAAGGCAAACCAAGTACTGTACCTCCTGAGAAGAAACCTATCAGCAAAGATAAATACGTTTGTAAAGTTAGGCCTGTATAAGTCACTAATACTCCCAGTGTTATTATACGGACTCTCATGTACACATATATCGAGGGGGGATCAATTGCAGTTGGAGCGATTTCAAAAGAAAGCAATCCGGTGGATCACTGGAAATAAAACGGGAGTGTACATCAACGAACTACGCTTGCTAAACATTTTACCCCTGCCCATGTTCATCCAGCTAAATAACATCTTACTTCTTGCCAGTCTTGATTCTAATGAACGAAATGAAATAGTGTTAAACAGGCGAACCACACGGGCTAGAAATATAGAAATTTTTGAGATGCGAAAAGTGAGAACGGAAAAAGCGAGAAACGAATTTGTTTTCAGAACCAGTAGGATTGTAAATCGATTAGAACCATATATTCATTTTGATAAACGAATCGGCCTCAAGACGAGAATTTTAAACACGATGTGGAAATTTGTAAACGAGAGATTTTCAGAAATGACAACGTGCACGTGGCAATTATTCTGTGATTGTATCACGTGCAGAAACAAGTGGACATTGTTTTAGAGAAGACGCCGGGACCAAGACTCCCAACAGCAGTGCTGTGAATCCCCAACAACAACAACAACAACAACAAAAAATCACTTAAGCCTAATTGTTTTAACACAAAAGTTAGGGCCCTCGGGAAAGACAATAATTTTTGTTCATCGTGTTTGAAACTATTTGACTGTTCTCGAAAAAAACCTCAGTAGTCTGAGTTTTCGCGTTCAATCGAAATAACAGTTTGTGTAAATCTATGATTCTCGGTAAAGTAAGATTCATTGACCGTTTTCTGGATTTATTTTCTCAAAAACCTAGCCAATTCTTAGATGAACTGGGCAATCGAGAAACTCTATTTTGCAAATCTTCTCTGCTAACGCGGCTATGACTTTCTTTTTGCAGAAAAAGTTATTGTTTTCGGAAAATCAATTTTTTGAGCTTTTCACTAGATGTTTTTTGACTTTTCTTATACACTGCCCTGTCAAACCTGAGATGAAAGGTTCAATCGAGTGAACGGGTTGCGAGATTTTTTCATGTAGAAGCGGCGTCCCCTTAATTGTTTGTAAGAAATTTTCACCCTCCTCTTTTATTGTAGTGGAGAAACAACTAAGGTTTTAGCAAAGTTCAGTTTTTGAAATTACCCATGTCATCACACATCATTATAACGAAATTATCAAGACTCCTACTTCCAGCTTCAGCTGGGCTCATAGATATATTTTATCGAGACGTACGAAAATTTTGGTTCTTGTTTTTTTTCAACATTTTTTATTTTCTTGTGTTGTGTAGGGTATCTAAAGTGGTGCAAAGCTCCGCTCCGCCTCTGTGTTACACAGCTAATGCATTTTTATTTCATCAAGTGAACAGAGAACGTCGAGTTTATTTAATACATCAGCACAATTATTACACTTGCGAGCTTATGAGCTTTCTTTTTCCAATCTAACTCGCAAATACATGTGCTCATTTGGTAGCACTTCAGCTATAATGAATCACGATTTGTAGCATTGAAAATTTCATACCATCTATTTTGTTTGTAGCAATGTTTTGTCGATTGTTAAGCGTCCCAGGCTGTGGTTAGTGCGTGAGACTTATACTCTCTAGGTCGCACGATCGAATCCGACTTTTAGCCGAATTTTAACTAATTCGAGGCTTATTTCTACTTTTTCTTAATTCAGCTTAAAGAGATGCTTTTTTGTCAGCTTCGCCTCTGTGTAAAATCTCAATTTCCAATTTTTTTCATTCCCAGTTATAAAATAGTTGATGCTGAGGATCCCAATACAGACTTTTTCCACCAAGATTTTTTGAGGAATTTTTTATTCCAAGTAAAAACGGTGGTTGAGCTCGGAATCAAAAAAATATATCCACTGTGATCTTTTATAGCATTGTTTTTGGGATTTGAAGTTGGCAATTTTGAATAATTAATACGCGCTATTTACCACTTTTCTGTTAACGCGTTACGTAGTCGGCGAGTTAATGCGGCTCAGAAGTCTTTCCAAACTGAATTGAGGCAAGCAGTGGTCTTATCAAGTTGCTAAGTTTTTCCGTTTTGCCTCTGTATACGAAGTGAAACTTCGCCTCTGTGTAATTTATAGATTTCGTGCGGCATAAAAGTTAATGATCTTGATTTCTCAAACTTGGATAGTTTTATCAAAAAAATTCTTTTTAGAAGATTTTTGAAACTCATTAGATGAAGAATATCCAGATATTTTTGGGCGGCGAATTAATGCATTGCGTAGGCGGCGATTTAATGCGGCTCAGAAGTCATTCCAAACTGAATTGAGGCAAGCAGTGGTCTTACCAATTTGCTAAGTTTTTTCGTTTTTCTTCTGTATATGAAGTGCAACTTCGCCTCCTGTGTAAATTATAGAATTCATGCGGCATAAAAGTTTACTTAATGTTTCTCAAATTTGAATATGCATATTTTCGCATAAAGGCAAAGTTTCTCAAATTTGAATATTTTTTATCGAAAAAATTCTTCACAGAATATTTTTGAAACTCATTAGATGAAAATTATCCAAAAAGTTTTTTCGGGTTCCATTACATCATTGCAGGGGCAGATGTAGGATTCTCTCCAGGAGGAGGGGGGCGGCTTTTCAAAAAATTTTGTCGACTTTTCTTTGCAGATCGTTTTGGTCGACCAGATTTTCGAGCTGTCTTACAACACTATAAAGATCCGATTTTGAAATGCAAGTTTTCGAGAAAAAAAACAGGTCAAAATGCCGTTCTGGGGCTTTTTTTGGAACGGCAGAACAGGACAATTTTTTTTGGAAAATTTTGACCAAAAAAATCGGGTTTTATTGGCGCGCGCTCCCCTTCAGAGTTAGTAAATATTGGTGCCCTTAGAAAATTTTGGGGTTGGTTGGCCGAAAATAAAACAGTATCAAAGGGGGACCCTTGGTGAGGGGGTCAAATCTCTGAGGGAAGTTGTCCCACCTTAATAAATCCGCCCGGTTTTATTGAGATATTTCCAACTTTGTGTAGGCTTTGTGCTTTTTTGTGTTCTTGGCAAAGAAGCAATGCAAGAACTCAATTTTTGTCCAGAATGTTTGGTTCTCTTTTCCGGAAACATTCCGTGTTAAGGAAAGAAATTTAAATTAAAACGAATGATATGTAGGTATGAATGTGAAGTGATTGCGTATTTATTGTTTAGTTTCAATGCGCTAAGATATGACTTGTTTCAGTTGGAGAAACAACTGGATGATGCCCACAGGAGACTGGAGAACTCAGAGGTAGGGAGGGGTGAAGGACAGCGACAGGTGGTAGAGTTGAGAGAACAGCTGAACAGAAGTGAACAGGACAGAGAGCAGCTGCGGACCAGAGTGAATGACTACACGCACGACATACAACGGGAGGTGTCCAAGAGAGGTCAGTTCAGAAAAATAGAACTATTCTCTCAACTAAATATCTTGAATTATCTTCCAAAATCTATGGGACTACGAGTTGTAGATTTTTGAGTTGAAGTAAGGAAAGAAAGAAAGAAAGTATTTAGGATCCGTGGTATAATCAATTGAAGTTTAGGTATAACAGTGCTTGCGTATTTCAGAGGAGGCTTTTGCCTCTGAGAAGCGTATTCTGGAAGAGGAAATCAGGCGCCTCAAAGGTCAACTGAACGACCCCAGACGAAATACGGAATTCGAGACGATGAAAGCCGAAGTAGAAAAACTGGATAAGTTGAAAAGCACTTTGGGCAAAAGGGTAGAGGAGGTGCAGAAAAAGAATCAAGAGAAAGACATGGAGGCTACCGAGTTCACGTACAAAATGCGGGAGATGACTAATAAACTCGAGGACTCGGATCGCGTGAAGAAAAAGGCGATTAGCAGAGTAGATGATTTGACTAGGGAGTTGAATGTGCTGAAGATTGAGAGGGAGAAGATTGTGGAACAGCTGAGGAATGCGGAGACCCAATTGAACCAGAAGACTAAAGAGACGGAAGAGATCACTACTAAATCAAAGACCATCATCAATGCGTAAGTTTTGTTTCTGTACTACTGTTTGTTGCTTCGAAAGGTCGCCAAAATGAACATCCAGAATCTTTCGAGGCATGGCTCATTATGCAGTACAATAAATTGCTGTGGTTTGATTTCCTACAATTAATGCCTCATTGAAACGGATAAAAAATATTTATTAAAATTCAATTAATGGAGCCCCTCTGTATTGTATGTGCCTATAAACGACGACGATCGTTTCGTTTTAGGTTGAAGACCAAAACTCAGAAATTGACGAATGACCTTGACAAGGCCACTAATGCGCACCAGTCTCATGTGGACAGGATCAACCAATTGGAAAGAGAGGTTGAGGCAGGCAGATTGCAAGCCACTGCCGGTGAGTCATTTGTAATTAATCTTGGTCATTCTATTGAAAGTTACCTAAGTTTCAGATTTTTATAAATCTCGGCATCAGACATGGCCTTTTTCTATTGTTTGCATTTTTACGATTGCGATAAGGAAGGGTACTTTGCAATCGGCTACCAATATTTTTCCCATAAACAACTAGCCGAATTTTTACTAATTCGAGGCTCATTTCTACTTTTTATTGCACTTTGTAGAGCTGCTTTTGTGTTCTCGCTGGTGTTTGCGAAGCAAGCGCTATCAATTCGGAACATAGACTTATTCTTCTAAACAACTTGCTCAACAAGTTCACTTAATCTTTTTCGCAAATCAGCATTTTCGTCAGCGAGCAGACATATTTTGAACATGTTCGCTTTTCAAATGCCCATTCTATTCAAGACCCTGTTTTTTCAGAATTTATGCAACTCCGGTGGGTAAAAATTGATTTGTCAGACTTTCGTTTATCTGCTCTAGTTTTGTCTGCTCAGTTGGCTATATAAGTTTTGTCGGCTATATATATATATAATGACTCTTATAGATTTGTGACTCTTATATAAGTCTTGCTGATTTTTTTTTGTTTTCACATATATGTATATAAAACAAGAGAATATTTTTTGAAAAAGAAAAAAAATTCCAAAGCGTCAAAAAATGAAATACAAAACACAATCGCATACATTTTCATGATACATGTTTTTAGCAAAAAGGAAATCTAAGCAAACATGCCAAGCAAGACATTTGAATTTAAATTAGCAACGGAACAAAACTTGCCAAGCGGAACTTACGCCGACATTCTTTGAGGAGACACCAGCTGAGCCGAAAACAAAATAGATTTTAAAAAAGACTTTCGAAAGTTTCAAGTCCTCCTGAAACAACAATCAAGAACACTTGCAACTACCTCAATATTTGCTAACAGCACAAGAAAAATCTTTTTTTTTGTGCCAACTAAGCCGACAAAACTTGAGCAGATAAAGGAAAGTCTGATAAATCAATTTTTACCCACCAGAGTTGCATAAATTCTGAAAAAACAGGGTGCCTGCAAACTACTTTTGTCTATTTTTGAGTGTAATGAACTTAGAGAAGACTCTTAAATAGGTCTTGCTGATTTTTTTTTCTTTTTTTTTAGGAAAAAGTCTTAAAATATAGGTGCACTTAGGTATAATGCACTTTTTGAATTCAATTGAAATTCATCTGCTGAAAATGACGTAAATAGAACTTTCCAAATACAAACGTGGAAATCGCGCGAAAAAACGTGAACGGTTTTGTAGTGTCGAAAGTGGAATTAATTATTAAGTTTTCCTAGGGGAATAAAAACTCTGCCTATTGATCCAATTTTTTCAAGTTGGTTTCCAGGTTATCAAAAAAGCGCCAATACTTAATTGTTCTAGAAATTCAAAGAGCCTAAAGGGCATCTTTTTTTTTCTTTGAAATTCCAAAGTTGAGATTTTTTCAAGAAAGTCAGTGTTTTTTATGTTTACTTGCGTTCATTACTCTTTTCCAATCTTCGATTGACTATGCTTACTTTACTCCTCTGTCCCAAATTTGACCCATAGTTTTGATTTTTTTCTCGTTTTCTCAAAAAAAATCCTCCCAAATCTGAGATTTAGTTTCAATGGAAATAACGGTAGTAGGAAGCTAGCCTGAATTAGCGGGCAGTCACATTTTTTACACAAAAATTTTGTGCCCTCGGGCAAAACAATTATTTGATGTTTTGAACGTTTTTTGAAATTTTTCTCAAACTACCCGGTCATATTTTAAATTTTTGGTTCAATCCAAACATTGTGGCAAGCTCCGTTGCATACGCGGATTTTTTTTGGATTTTTGACCGTTTTGGAATTTTTCTCGAACTATTCTCCCAAATCTGTTTTTGGGTTCAACCTAAATTACAGATTGCGCTAATTTCTTCTTCATAATCGGCTACGTCCAAAACATAACAAAAAAACTATGAGAAAACAATTTTTGTTTTTGTCTTTACCGTTTTTTTGAAACTATTTGACCTTTCTCGAAAATTACACTCACAAATCTGAGTTTCTGGGTTCTATAGAAATTACGGTTGCTTGCATCTCGTCTGCATAAGCAATTGCGCCAAAATGTTTCTACAGAAAACGATTTGATTCTCGGAAAACTCAAGTTTTTGAGTTTTTTTTTAACCTTTCTCGATAAATATTCTGCCAAATCTGGTATCAATTGTTTAATTCGAACAACAGGCTGTTTACACAAGCAAAGTTATTACGAAATCACTTTTGTTCCAACCTAAGTCGCAAATATTAGTTCTCTTTATGAAAGTGCTCTTTTTTTGCAGTTTATGCATAAGATCAATAACCAGCGATTAAGTACAGCAAATGCTAAGGATATTAACACACACTATTGTATTACAAATAGCACTTTAGCTTCAAGGTGTTATGGATCTGTAGCGAAGAGGTTGGGAAGGAGACTAGCAGCAAAATAAGAGGATTCGAATTTCAGCAAGGTCGCATGTTTTTAATAAACTTTTTCGTATACCAGTTAAAATATGCGTCCGCTCTATAAATTGAGGCATGTTAGTTGGTAATTTGTTTTCAAATTGACTGGTACTGCTAATGCGTCATAATTGGCTTGCGTCACATAGCAATTATGTAGACTCATAATTGGCGTGCGTCATTTAAGAAATTTTGTAGACTCAAAGTTGTACTCATTCAGTTTTTCCCAGTAGCGTTGTCGGTCATGTTTTTGCTTGTGTATGCGAAGTGGGACTTCGCCTGTGTGAAAGCCCACTTTTATGAACAGCTACGCCAATTTTTTTCGCCCGGTTGGGAATATTTTCTGATTAAACTGCCACGAGCTACATTTCGCAGAAGGTTTATGGATTTCGGAAATTCAAGTTTTTCTTACTTTGACCGTTTGTTTGAAATTTTTTGACGTCTGTTAAAAACAACCCAATCAAACTGAAATGAAAGGTTTAATCGAAAGAAGCAGTTGCGAGAAGTTTCCCTAGAGAAGCGTTGACTCCTTAATTTTTTTATGGATTTGATGGAAGTTTTATGGATATCGGAAATTCCAGTTTTTCTTATTTTTGACCGTTTTTTGGATACTTTTTGACTTCGCTAAAAAACTATCCTATCAAATCTGAAATGAAGGGCTTAATCGAAGGAACCGGTTGCGAGAATTTTCCCTACTGAAGCGGCGACTCCTTAATTTTTTTTTAGCATAAATGTTACGTCCTTAGGAAAATTCCTATCTAAAAAATTTTTTGACTCATGTTTTTGTCATGTTTTGGTGTAAAAAAAACAAAGTGAAGTTTATTCGAGACAGAGGTATGAAATTTTGGCAGATCTAGTTGTTCTCGACTAATTCAAAACTTTTTTTTGACGTAGCTTTTACCGTCTTAGCGGCAATTTCTCTGCTAGTTTTCGACGTAGCGTCTTCCGTCTCAGCGGCAATTTTCGTCTGCTAGTTTTATCATACTATGTTTGTGTTGTATTGCAAGTGGTTGCTCTGCTTCGTCTCGGTGTGGATCCTTAGAGAGAAATCATCCGGTACTTCTGGCGTGTAACCGATTCGAAATGTGGCCCAGTTGATAATTAAAACATTTTTTTAGTAGGGCTGTGTATGTGCGTGTTTTTTTTTAAGCTGTGCTTAAATTTAGTTTTACAGCTAAAGGAATCCGTGAAATTTTTTTTTTGGATTTATGCTCTTGTGATTAATGACTCTGTGATGTTTTAGCTGCGGCATCAAAAGACCGTGGGCTCGTCACTGGTGCAGGTAAGGTTTTTTTATTTAAACCAAATCATTCAATTAGACGTCTCTAGGTCTAGTTAACTTTCTGCAACTAAGTACCAAAGGGAGGACGATTCGGGTCGGCAGGAGGTCGAATACCTGAGGAGGGAGGGGAGGGGAGGGGTAGCATTAGTATTAAATCAGCCCCTGCGCGTAAGCGTTTAAATGGAGTAGAACATCTGTTATGCCAATGCTAAGCATAACTGTTACTCCAGCATTAATATTGTAGACAGTGGTCAACTGGCGGCCATCCACAAGGAGATACACGACGTAATGGTGATGCGAGGGGAGCAGGAGGATTTGATGAGGCGCAAGAACGAAGAGATCCACGATCTGAGAGGAGAACTGGAGTCCCTCCAAAGAGCACACACATCCCTGAAGGACGACATGGACAAGGTGGGTGTAGCTCGACATCAGCTGTGGGACTGAAACGAATCAGAGATTTGTATATTGCCGATTGCGGTTTTCTGAACTAGTTATGTTTTCTCAGCAACACATTTTATTTGGCATGCCTTTGAAGCGTCTCATCTGTCTATTTGTCTTTAACAAACTTGATATGCTTTTGTCGCAATGATGACTTATTTACTCTACAACTAGGATAATTGAAGACATCCAAAGCATGTTTTTAAAGATCAGTAAAAAACCGTTATTGATACGAAACCGCGGTCGCTTTCTCAGTTTACAATGTTTGATGAAAGTAATTGCCAATGGTTGACGTAGAATTAAATTTGAACTGTGTCTGTTTTGCAGGTGGACGAGGAGATCACTCTGAACAGGAAGCGACTGATGGAGGCTGAGAGCACGAGAGATGAGCAGGAGGACGAGCTGATAAAACTAAGGACAGAAGGAGAGGTCACAAGGGATGAACTTAACAGGGCCAGTGCCAAAGCAGAAGAATTGGCTATTCAAGTAGAACAAGTGAGCAGCTATTTAAAAACAATAATGTCTTTAAGTTAATTTAAGGCCATTTATCCTCGAGCGAAAGGACCAAAGTACGAGCTGTACAGCTCATCACGGCGAACCGCGGTTGTGCCCTGTTTAAGAACTACATGCATTTTTTTGGTTATTGTTTTTGGGCCGGGTAATGTTGCCTCACCCTCAAGCAACGAGCACGGGTCATGGTGGCCCTTGAACATCCTACCTTTCAATTGAGAGGCGGAGACGTAACCACTTCACCGCCGCTCCCCACAAAATAGAATATGTGGGATATTTACTCACTAACTGCCCTTCGGTCGTTTGATTTTTCAATATGTTAATCATTTAATCGTGGACTTGATTGAAGTTATTTGTTTTCGTGGATTTCTTGAACGAGATCAAAAGTTATATTTTCGAGTTAGGTTAAAGATCATTGTTTTCAACAGTTTTGATTTTTGAAAATTGTGAACATATAAACCGGTTTAAGGGTAGAAAAAGGAAATTAATAATTATCTATTTTAACTAGCTGCAACGACGTATCAGCGAGGAAGTGAAGGAGAAAGAGGAGAATAAAATGGCCTTGATTCAGACAGAGAAGAAAGAGCGTCTAGCTAGAGAAGAGATATCCTCTCTGCTGATCAAACTGAGTGAGCAGGAGCAGATGCACAACAGGGTGGTGGGGGAACTGAAGAGAGACATCCAGGAGTTGGTGGATGTGGAGCAGAAGAATGTGCAGCAGATGGTGCAGGGCATGAAGGCGGAGAGGAACCAGCTGGAAACGGAGATAGCCAATCTGAGGGTCAGTTCGTAATCGCTCTTAATTGTTAGTGGTAAAGCCCGGGCCAACAATACTGATAAACAAAGTAAAGCATTTGAACGGATATTGTTATGTGAGTTTTCGATACCATTGTCTCGAGGTTTAAGCATGCGTTTCCCTGTGCTGGAACTAAAGATTTTAGAAGTGCGATTTAATTTTGTTAAATGATAAATGAAAAACCCTTCTGCCGTCCATTTTATCCGTGTTTAAGCATGGGAGTCCCTGTACTGGAAATAAAGGTACTAGGGAGGTTGATTTAAGTAATTAATTGGTAAACAGCGTTGTCGTTTCTAATAATCATGATAGCTGAGTTAGACGGTAAATGGTTTGAGTGCTCAGTTAATATTTTTCAGCCTTCAAATAGATAGGACTTCAGTTTAGTGTGAATGTAAGGATCAGCTGTGATTGTGTTTCAGCTGGAAGTTAGCAACGAAAAAGAGAGTGCACGTGACATGCGGGAGAACCTGGAGAAACTAGAACGAGAGTTGATTGAGGCAAGTGACAACAGCAAGAAACAGGCGGAGACTGAACTGGCCCTGAGCACTAAAGTGGAGGCCCTGCAGTTCGAAATCACCATCAAAGACAACCTCGCGCAGGAGCTCGAGTCTAGGTTGGAAATATAATACCCCTTGCGAAAAGCAAGGGTATTGCAATCTGATACTAGATTTTTTCCCGTAAATAACTTTGTTCATAGGAATCTTTCCTTCACCTATTTGTACTTGTTGCAAAACCTAATCCTATCGTTTGCAAATATGAAGCATGTTTTGCGTTTGTTAGTATTTTACCTAACCGTTCTTTTCGATGTTGGCTTTTTATGATGGTTGTAATTTTTCGAACTTGATTTGTTTACACTAGTCAGCGTTAGTGTGTTTGTACGAACCTACTTTTTTTCTAATCTAACTCGCAAATAAAAGTGTTCATTAAAAGTGTTCACTTATTTGGTGCCACTTTTGCTATAATCACGATCTATAGCATTGGCATTTTATAGCATATGTTTCTGCTTTGCTTGTTAGTATGTGAGACTCATAATCTCTAGGTCGCAGATCGAATCCGAGACGTAGCCAAACTTTTGGTACTTCGAGGCTTATTTCTACTTTCTCTTATTGCACTTTATGGAGCTGCCTTTTTTCATGTTCTCGCTAGCGTTTCCGAAGCACAGCTTCGCCTTTGTGGAAAAATTTTATTTTTTGTTTTTGTCCTTTTTTCGGCTTGGTGAAATTTCTTCCGATGCTAGTTAATTTTTTTTTCAAAACTTACATTTTCCATTTGCATGTATAGTTATAGATATAGGTGCATGTATGATTATGACGCTTGCGATCAGCAAGCTTTATCAAATCGGAATATAGACTTTTTCGGGTTAACAACTAGTTTAACGAAATCAGTTGAATCACTCATGATGCTGACATGTTCAGTTTCATGAAAATTCAAGTTTAACTACCGCTTTTTAGGGTACTAGTCACCACTGCATGCTATATTTTGGATCTAAACTCGACTTAAGCTCTGTCAGTTTAGTTTTCAATTTGTGTAGTCTTTTTGCATACGCTACTGATATGTCTATCGTGTATCCTATGTTGCTGTTCATGAAGTTTTTACCATATGTTCTATGATGAAAGATTTTGGCTGAGTTTCAGCTTATTGGATGTCGGCTTCGCCTCTGTGTACTATATTATTACTTTTTTGCTGATGGTTTTGCGGCTTTGTTGTTGTCGATTAAGCTCTCGTTCTAGTTTCTGAAATGTGTAGATCACCTCCCTTTAGTACATATATGACACTCGTGGATACTGTATGGGCATTACATGAAATTTTTTCCAGATGTTCTGTGACGAAAGGTTTTGTTCGAGTTTCAGTTTACTGGATGTCGGCTTCGCTTCTATGTACCTTTTCCGATAATATTACTTTTTTGCTGATGGTTTTGCGGCTTTGTTATTTTCAATTAAGCTCTCGCTCTAGTTTTTGAAATGTGTAGACCACCTTCCTTTAAGTATTTTTTGGCACTCGTGGATACTATATGGGCATTTCATGTTCTTTTATCAATTTTATTTTGCCAAAATATTTAGGTTGATTTTCAGCTTATTGGTTGCGGCTTTAATTCCGTCGGCTTTTTCATCATAATTAATGAAAAAGCCGACGGCATTAAAGCCGCAGCCATTAAGCTGAAAATCAACCTAAATATATTGGCAAAATAAAATTGATAAAAAAACATGTAATGCCGATATAGTATCCACGAGTGCCAAAAACTAATTAATGGAAGGTGGTCTACACAATTCAAAAACCGGAGCGAGAGCTTAATTGACAACAACAAAGCCGCAAAACCATCAGCAAAAAAAGTAATATTATCGGAAAAGGTACATAGAAGCGAAGCCGACATCCAATAAATTGATATTTTTACGTGTATGGTTATTACGGTTGCGATCAGCAAGCTTTATCAAATCGGAATAAAGACCTTCGGGTTAACAACTAGTTTAACAAAAACAATTGAATCACTCATGATGCTGGCATGTTAAGTTTCATAAAAATGCAAATTTAACTACCGCTTTTTAGGGTACTAGTTTTAACTGCATGCTATATCTTGAACCTGAACTATTGTATGTATGATTATAGGTTATTGATACTTATTTTCTGCTGATGATTTTTGTGGGGCCTAGGATTACGCATCGCGAAAGTAAGCCTTGAAAAAAATTGTACCATAATCGTACCGTCGACTTGTAAATTAGGATTCTTACATCCTTTTCTCCTTTCCTTTTTTCGAAGATCACTAGAGAATATGCAAGCACAAGCTACCAAAAAAGCAGAAAACAGATGCTATTAGTTTGCGATAGACTTAAATATATTCAAATTCCATTTTTCAGTGATAAAATGCCTGATGTTTTTTTATCAAAGATTTTGGCTGAGTTTCAGCTTATTGGATGTCGGCTTCGCTTCTGTACGTTTTCGATATTTTACATTTTTGCTGATGGTTTTGCGGCATAAATACGAACTCTGATTTAAATAATTTCGATTATTTTAGTTTTTTTCAATCAAATGTTTGCGTTTCTGTTATATCTGTTTGTCAACCTTTATTGCGTTTTCGAAATGCATTGAGACTTTTAATACCTTCTGTTTTTATCTGATTTGTTTTTTATTTGAGCAGTTTGTAATTACACAAGCAATGCTTGTGTTATAGTATGAACTATCTTTTTTCCAACCTAAGTCGCAAATATTGTTGCGACGCAAATATTGTTGCGATAAAATGTGTTCATTGTGAAAGTGTTCATTTTGATCAAAAACCAGCTATGAAGTAAAGCTAACGCTAAGGATTTTAACCCAGACTATTGTTGTTCCGACTTTCGTAACGAAATTAACGGACTATTTGTGCTCGGGTGATTTTTTTCGTCAGACAAATATGAACTTTTTAACTAGCCATTTCTGATCGGAAGTATTGTTGTCTTGAGCTTAAATTTGGAAAGATATTTCCCCTGTGATCTTTTTTTGTGAAGTTATGGGAATTTAAAAATTGCCATTTTGGCCAATTTGGGACAATTAACGCGCGACATATTTGGCGCTATTACCGCGTAAGAGGAGATTTAATCCATCATAGAAATCGTTCCGAATTGGTTGAAAGAAGCTTATTTGCCATAATTGAATGTACTAGGAGCGAAATTTACCCTTTTGTACATAATATAGCGTGTGGGCTGATTTGCACAAAAAATCTCAAATAAAAAAAATTCATTTTATCCTTATTACATTTAAATTTTTCATGTTATTACTGCTCCATAGACTGCTCTATAAATTGAGGCACGATAGTTGGTAATTTTTTTTTTCAAATTGACTGGTACTGCTAATGCGTCATAATTGGGGTGCGTCTTTTAAGAAAATTTGTAGACTCAAAGTTTTACTCATTCACTTTTTCCCAGTAGCGTTATTGGTCATATTTTTGCTTGTGTATGCGAAGCGCAATTTAGCCCGTATTTATAATGAAAGTTGTTCTGTACTTTGTAATTTTTTACACTCTGATTTCGAATAACTGCAATTAGTTTGTTTTTTCCTTACTTTTAGTTTTTCTTTGATCAAACGGTTTTGGTTTTTGTTATATTGATTTTGTCAACATATATTGTGTTTCCGTTGCTTTTGAGTGTTTCGATGCTGCTTGACTGTGTTTTCCAAAATTTAGTTTTTTTATTTGAACAGTTTGTAATAAAATTGAAAATTGTTCTGTACTTGTAATTTTACAATATTTGATTTGAATTATTTCGATTACTTTCTTTTTTTTTCAATCAAAGGTTTTGCGTTTCTGTTATTATGAGTAATGATCGTAGTGGAGACTCTTATATAGGTCTTGCTGATTTTTTTTGTTTTTTTTAGGAAAAAATCTTAAAATATAGGTGCACTTAGCTATAATGCACTTTTTGAGTTCAATTGAAATTCATCTGCTGAAAGTGATGCTAATAGCACTCTCCAAATAAGAACGTGAATCATTTCTAGTTTCGAAAGTGGAATTTATTTTTAAGACTTCCCAGCGGAATAAAAACTTTACCTATTGATCCAGTTTTCTCAAGTTGTGTTCCTGTTATCAAAAAAGCGCCAATCATAATTTGTTCTAGAAATTCAAAGAGCTTAAAAGCATCTATTTCTTTGAAATTCGAAAGTTGAGATTTTTCAAGAAATTCAGTGTTTTTTATGTTTACTTGCGTTCATTACTCTTTTCCAATCTTCGATTGGCTATGTTATCGGTTATATCAACATATATTGCGTTTTCGAAGCTTTTGAGTGTTTCGGAAAGAATGGGTCGTAAATAGCTTGGCATTTTTTTGTCTTTGGCTTAACGGTTTTCGTCGTCTCGTTCTATGATTTATAATGCTTTTTGAGGCTATTTATGAAGTAGATCCGAGACAAACATGCAAACATGACATTCTTAAGAGTCGATGAACGTTGTTCAGACTCTTATATATAGGTCGTGGTGACTTTTTTTGTTAGGTAAAGCCTTAAAATTTGTTTAGGCTCAAATTTACTTTTTGGGGGTTTGACTTTTGATCTGTTTTTAAGATCAATTCAATTCTTTTTTGAAAGGAAACCAACCTCCACTAACGAACAGCAAAAAGTTAAAAGTAACCAAAAACGTGATCGACTTCTAATGTCGAAAGTGGATTATAATTATCAGTTTTCCCATTGATGCAGTTTTCTCAAATTGGTTATTATTTTTTTAAATGTTTATCGTTAATTGTTACAGATTTAAGGTGATCATTTTTTTCTTCGAAAATGGATTTTTTTTTCGAAAAACAAGCCAGCATTTACTGTAACTTTCGTTCATTGATTCCTTTCCGATTGTCTGTTGGCTATGTTAAATGTAGTTTTTCGACTTTTTCAAGTTAAGTTTTCAACTTAATGACGATTTAAAATGCTATTGGGTATGTTTTAGAATAAAGAAACTGGAGCGTACGTTGAAGGCGGCCAAGGAGAAACTAAAGAAAGAAGAGCACGACAGACTGACTGTGATGAGTACAGTGTCGAAGGGAGTGAATGGACTGGTTGATGCAGCAGCAGGTGAGGGATCCCTGGGCAGGCACAAGTCCAACACTCCCATGGCCAGTGGAGCAGATGCGAATGCATGGCTAGCTGAAATCAAGGTCAGGGGTTTGCAAAGCACACAAGGCAACCAATAATATTAGTTATCATTCAATTTCAGCTGCAATCAACAACTCGTATCATTTAGCATTCAATTTCGACTGCAAATTGTGAAATAACTCAAACTCGGTGGAGTTGCCTGATAATTTGAACCATATCTCATAAATATAGAAGAGGTTGAATTTACATGGTAGGTTTTGTGAAAGTAGATTACTTCAAACCTTCTACTAATTCTAAATAAGTACTTTTAAAGGAGCATGTCATATTTCAAGCTTTGTATATTTTCGTGTTCTGTGTACAATGACTACTTTGGACCTCAAACTGTTTTTTGCTGCTTCTTAAAAACAAATAAAGCTGCAGTTTAAAAGAATCGTGCTGTTTCTGTAGGCTAAGATGTCGTGGCTGCTGACAGAAGTGACCTCTTGGTATTCCAAAGAGAAGGACGTGCAGCACCAACTGAAGAGAACACAGCAGGATATCCTCACTCTGCTGAATAATTCCAACCAGGACAAGTCCTTCTTCATAGAACAGCTGGAGAAGCAGGGATCACAGATTAAACACATCTCCACTGAGAAAGAAGGTTTGTCGTCCTCAAAGTTTTGTAAGCCTTTTCAGAACCAATTGAATTTTCTTGGTTTGAGAAGTCTTTTCTCGATAGTAGAGAAAACATGGCCTATAAACTATTCCTGCTGTCGGTATGTAACTGAAACTGTTTCAATCAAAAAAATGATTTGGCCGGTAAATGTACTAATAAAATGTTTTGGTTTTAGACGTTCGTCTTGGAAATATAGACCAAGAATCCAGGTTGATGACTTTACATCATAATGTGGAGGATCTCTCCAACAGGCTGCAGATGGTTTGTATTTAAATATTTGACTTATTCGACTAATGAAGTGGCTTAGTTTGATTCATTTCCAATCATGATTCTTTCTCTTTCAAGCTGCTTAACCGGACTCCGTACCTCAAATAACCGAATTGATGTAAATACATCTCATTACTGAAAATATTTCCTACTTTTTCCTCGGAAAATAATTTAATCTGTTTTGACAGTCTGTATAAATCAAAAAGATTATAATTAATTGAGCTGATTTTGTCCTCAATTTGTGTTGACCCTGTTTTGTTTCTTATGGTTAAAATATTGTCTTCTTTTTCTCCTCTTAGAGTAGCCAATTGCTGGAAGCGCGGCTGAACATGCTTCACCTGCATAAGAGTAACCCCAACACTAACCCAGACGACATTTCACTTTCTGTACCAGCTCTAAATAATCTCAGTGCCACAACCACCCCTGCTAGGAGTCGTCCCAACAGCTACTGCTCTTCAAGATTGTCACCAAACCCGCAATTAGTTACTACCTTTGTAGATAATTCTGCTTCTACATCTCTTGCGCAGCATCATGGAGCAACTAACAGATCGGAATTAGCCGACACGAAATTAGCAGAATCATTTAATGCGGCTACTGATTCCAATACTTGTCAATCAAAACCTCTATCGTCATCAAAAAACCTTCATGATTATAATTTGAACCATAAACTCATATTGACACCAGAAAACGAAGCTCCTGATGTAAAAGAGCAGATGTCGAATAAATGTCAAGATAGTGATTTTAATAACAATTTGTCTTCTAAGGTTGTCTCTTTCTTTAATGAGGAGTCAGAGAATCTTAATAAGTCTTCCGATCGTCATCTTATCCAAGCGTCATCCACATTTTACGTGCCTTTATCTAAACTGAAATCAACTCATGATAAACCTGCAGATGAGTTGAGTGAGCCTTCAAAATTTGACATAGAGCTCCTAAACTCAGGAACAAACCCATTTGATTTGGAACCGAAATCATCAGAACCTAAATCGGCTTCAAGTCCAAAACCTTCTTCCTCAATTCTATCTTTCTTCACTAACAAACTGTCTTCAAATACTGAAAAGGTACTCCACTTTCTCTTTGGCGATGACTTAATTGTAAGAGCTCACCTTTCAAATTGTAGGAATTTGAACCTGCACTCATATGATTACTGGGCGCTATTTCTATTGGAATAGACGATGAGATTCAATTAAGGCCATGATTTATCTTTTTGTCTTTGTCTAAACTAGATACATTAAAATAAGATGTGTTGATTAAGGCTTAATATTGTATCGTTTAGGAAGCAGAACGAGATGAATACGAGTTCTCCGTGAAAAACAGCAGATGTGAGACAATGACAAATGGTGACCTCTATTACGTAAGTTTAAAAGTTACAATGATGTAAAAAATGCAAAAATGATAAGTAGAAACAATTTACATATTAGTGAAATTGATAATTCTTCTTGGGTAAAAATTAAATTCTTGGGTAAACAAAAACTTTTTGTGCGATCATTTTTATCGACGGTTTTTGAGATTTTTTGTCTTAAACAGCCAAACAACAAATATTTCTCCTCTATGGCCGCGAGTGGGGCTCCCATGACAGTCTACTCGGCTGCGAGACTGGACTCGGACAGAATCGGCACGGACTCTACTGTCACTCCGGAGCAGTCTGTGCTGCACTACACCCAGCCATTCACTCTGGACTTCTCGGCCGTGCCTTTTCACTTAGTGGCAGCTGCTGATGGACTTGCAGTGCACCCTTCTCAACATCAGATGGTATATCCTCAGAGTAGCAGCACACCAGCTCCAGTACCAATGTCCAAAGTAGCAGCCGACAGACTGACGCATACACCGCCCACCAAGTATGTTTGCATACTATTGACCGAGGAGGTTTTATTTCAAAATTTATTCAGATTGTGAGCGTTTCTTTGGGTTGCTTTAAAATAGCTCTTTTGTAAGTATAATTGAACTCAGAGTTAACTTTTTTGTTTGATCTTTTGTCGTTTGTACTTTGATTTCTCTTTAAGCTCAATTCAAATCCATTTCCTAAAAGGAATTCAAATTGCGCTTTCCTATTACGAAAGCGAAAAAAAGGGAACGACTTCTAGTTCGAAAAAGGATTGTTTCGTAATCGGGTACAAGACTTTTTTCGCGTAAACAACTTTTTTTTACAAGTCTACAAGAAATCGAACTTGCTTTATTATTGAATCTAAACAACCTCCAGGATCCGTCCCTTTTGTTGCAGAGGTATTAATGAGATTGAATATTTTTCAGGGAATTGTCTGTCGGACTTCCGTTTGTCTGCTCATGTTTCTCGGCTTAATTTTTGAAGCATGGAGTTTTCTTCTGAATTAAACTGTTTTATGATAACTTACAGTCGTTCTGTTATTAGGAGTAATGAACGTAGTGAAGACTCTTCTATAGGTCTTGAGGATTTTTCTGAGTTTTTTCGTCAGGAAAATGTCTTAAAATGCTCTAATAACTACAGTTGTGCATTTATACATATTAGTGCATTTATGAATGCACTAAGGTCTATATACACTTTTTGAGTTCAATTGAAATCAATCTGCTGAAAGTTACGTTAAGAGCCTTCCCCAAATCCGATTGTGGAAATTGCGCGAAAAAAACGTGAACAATTTCTAGTTACGATTGGTCCAGTTTTTTCATGTTGGATTAATGTTATCAAAAAAACTCCGGTCATTAATTGTTCTAGAATTTCAAAGAGCTTAAAGAGCATCTATTTTTTTTTCTTTGAAACTCGAAAGTTGAGATTTTTTCAACAAAGTGTTTATTTTTTTCTATTTAATTGCGTTCATTACTCTTTTTCAATTGTCATTTGGCTATGTTTAAGTTCAGTTCACCTCTTTTTGTTTAAAAATGCAAACTCCACTTTCTTGCAGCGAAAAATTAAAAGTCACGCAAAACGTGATCGACTTAAATCTCGAAAATGAAATTTATTTATTAGTTTTCCGAACAAAATAAAGGTTTTAGCAATTTATCCAGTTTTCTCAACTTGAGCTATTTTTAAACAATTTTGTCAATCTTTATTTTTCAGAAATTTAAAGAGCTATAAAGCCATCTTTTTTTCGAAACTTGAGTCTGATTTTGTTTTTTGTTTACTTGCGTTTCTTTACTCTTGTCCAACTGTCTGTTGGCTATGTTTGGTATTTTCTAAGCGTCTGTGGCTGATAGGGAAAGACCTGAGGTTCCTAATCTTTTCGTCGCAAGTTTGAACCCAACAAAGCAAAAGTTTTTCTAATTCACTTTTTCGAGCTGCTTTTTGCCGTTATCTCGCTTGTGTTTGCGAAGCGCAGCTTTGACTCTCTGTCATGAATGTATATACCTATAAATGTTTTCTGAATGTAGTTCAAGTTCATTTGTAAGAAAGTCCGATGAGTTGTGCCTTCAAATCATGAAAAATTTTCAATCAGTGTTTCTCGGTTTTCTTGTTCTGTTTCATTCTTGGAATCTTCTGTTGCCTATGTTTTGATTTCAATATTAATTATAAGAGTTTGCGATCAAATAGCTTGCAATGTTATGGTTTCGTTGTATTGCAATTGCTGGGAAGCTCCGCTTCGCTTCTGTGTTGTTTACACCGAAGACTTTAGTCAAGGTGTTATGGTATCGTGTAACGGGTTTTTTTTTTAATGTTGTCTGTTGTCAAGTGTCGACAAATAACGTCCACAGTTATCAATTATCATGTGGGCTGGACTATATCGCGCTATGTCACGTGATTGCGTATGTTTGTTTCTTTATTTGTTCATCTTTATTTATTTAATTATCTGTTCTTCTATTTATTTAATTATCTGTTCTTCTATTTATTTAATTATGTTTAGTTTGCTTATATTTATTTATAATTTATGTATGTACATATTTATTTTTGTTTATTTTTATCACGTGTTTTGTTTATTTATTTAATTATTCTTTCTTTCATTTAGTTTTGCTTTTATTATTTCTGCGTGTGTATTTATTTAATTTATTTATTTTCATTTATTTATATTATGGGTCTGTTTGTTTGGTTATTTGTTCATATATATTTTTTCATGTCTATTTAATTATTTGTACATTTCACTTTTGCTTTTATTTATTTATTTATTTATGTATTTATTTAGTTATTTATTTATGTATTGATTTATTTTTTTATTGCTTATTTATTTATCAGGTGTGTTTTGTTTATTTGTTGATATTTATTTCTATATTTGTGGATCGTTTGAGAAATGGCATGGCGTCCGTTTAAATTTGACGTTCCGTAATCAGTTTGACGCTGAACGTTGAAGTTTTATGTCATTTTTATTACTTGCCGGTTTTTGAAGGTTGAATTTGAACTTGATTTCGTGGAATACTTAACTGATATCTTTACCTGATTGAAGTTTTGTTCATGAATACCAACATTGGTACATTTTTCAGATCTGTCTCATGTCTTTGCAAGTATTTTTTTTGTTTTTTGGATTTGTTTTTTGGATTGTTTTACTGCTACATACTGTCAATTCTGAGACTGCTTCACAATTTCTCAATATAATAAGACTAATAGCTTTTTTTCATTTTAGCTCTTTCTTGTAAGTATATGTTTAAGTACGATTTTTAGTTATTCCGGAGACCCATATGAGTCTACATGCCAATTTATACGATTGGCCGATTGAAACGACAGGAGGCGTTTTGCTACACATACAAACACAATCTTTTGTATTTGATTATAGCTATAGAAATTGATCTACAATGCGTAAGTACGACATTTAGTTCTACGATTGTTATTTCAGGTCCTTTGTCAATATTTCAGGCTCTTTGTCAATATAGCAAAATTTTGGTGTATATATGTGTTAGTAAGATTTTTAGTTCTACAACGTTTATTCAGGCTCTTTGTCGATATAGCAAAATATTGGTGTATACATGTGTTAGTACGATTTTAGCTCTAGAATTGTTATTTCAGGCTCTTCGTCAATATAGCAATATTTTAGCGTATACATGTGTTAGTACCATTTTTAGTTCTCGAACTGATATTTTATGATCTATGTCAATATATCAAAATTTTAGTGTATACATGTGTTATTACGATTTTTAGTTCTCGAACTGTTATTTCATGATCTTTGTCAATATATCAAAATTTTATTGTATACATGTGTTAGTACCATTTTTAGTTCTCGAACTGTTATTCCATGATCTTTGTCAATATAGCAAAATTTTGGTGTATACATGTGTTAGTACGATTTTTAGCTCTAGAACTGTTATTCCATGATCTTTGTCAATATAGCAAAAATTTGACGTATACATGTGTTAGTACGATTTTTAGCTCTCGAACTTTTATTTCATGATCTTTGCCAATATAGCAAAATTTTGGTGTATACATGTGTTCGTACGATTTTTAGCTCACGAACTGTTATTTCAGGCCCTTTGTCAATATAGTAAAATTTTGGTGTATACATGTGTTAGTACGATTTTGAGTTCTAGAAGTGTTATTTTATGATCTTCGTTGATATATCAAAAATTTAACCTATACATGTGTTAGTACGATTTTCAGTTCTAGAACTGTTATTTCAGGCTCTTTCTCGATATAGCAAAATTTTGGTGTATACATGTATTAGTACGATTTTTTGTTCTAGAACTGTTATTCTTCAATTATTAGTTGTTCAAGTTGTTTGTTTTTTGCTTCAGTTTCTATGCCTTCGGTGTATTGCGCGTAGCGCCTATGTTTTTTATTTTTCCAGCGGACTAAAATTGTACTAATGAACCAGTCATCTCAATCGTAAATTCTTCTTGAATTTCAAAAAGCTTTAAGGACATTTATTGTTTCTTTGAAATTTAAAATGTGACTTTTTTTTATAAAACAATTCAGTAATTTTCTTTGGTTTTCTTTCATTTCATTGGTACTTTTCAACGGTCTGTTGGCTTTTTGTTCAGTTTAACGAGGACAGTATTTACTTTTGCGATAAGCAAGGGTATTGCAATCGGGTACGAGACTTTTCCCCCGTAAATAACTTTAGGCACAAAATATCCATTTATAGAGGATCTCTTCTGACATGCTCTTTTTCTTAGAAGTTCAAATAAAAGTACTAATTAGTTACTAAAGAACTAATTAATACAAGCCCATTACAGTTGTAATTTTTTTTTCAAAAACTTCAAATCGCAATTTTTTCGGGTTCGTGGTTTTCGTCCTAGTTTCTGTCGGTTTATTTTCCGTTTTTGAAACGCCTTTTTTATGTGGTAGGGTTTCTATTAATTTAATTTTCAAAGCATGGATTTTGTTTCAACTTAAGCCGGTTTACTATTACTGAAGCTTCGCAACTTTGTAAATTTACCATGTCTGGTTTTGAGTTTTTTTCTGTCATTTTTTGTTTTATTAATTTAAACAATTTCAATATATTTTATATCGACATAGTCAACTTATTTTGCGTTCTAGGGAAAAATATATCCGTTTGGGATTATGTGTTTCAGTTTGGATTGGTCGTAAATACTTATGAATTTTTTTTTTGACAACAGTTTTGTTTGCGGCTCAACAGGTTTCGACGCAAAGTTTGGCGCCTTTCTTGTCGCTCGGTAATTCATTTCCATTTTTAAAGACTGTTTATGAACTTCATCCGATACAAAATGAAGTTTTTGTAGCTGCAATTTTTAAACTTTTGTGAAGTTTGTTTTTTCCAACATAGTTTTTCAGAATTTTTTTGACTTGTCTTTTTTTTTCATTCACTATTTTTTTAGCGTAATGTGTGTTTTGCATGGCAAGTGTTGCGAAGCTCCACTTCGCCTCTGCGTTATAGATAGACTTTTTTTAAGAGTAATGAACGTAGTACTGCGTAGTTATATAGGTCTTGCTGTTTTTTTGTTCCAGGAAAAAGTCTTAAATTTGTTCACGCTCAATTTTGATTTTTCGCGGTTTGAATTGTGGTTTTTTTCAAGTTTGGTGCATTTCCATTGTTAATAGGAAGGCAAACTCCACTATCGAACAGCAAAAGTGTAAAGGTCACGAAAAACGTGATCGAATTTAAATTTAGAAAATGGAAATTAATTATCAGATTTCCCAGCGAAATAAAAGATTTACTTATTGATTTAGTTTTCTCAAACTGGGTTAATTTTAACAAAAAAGTATCCATCATAAATTGCTCTGGAAATTTAAAGAGCTTCAAGGCCATCTAATTTTTTCTTCGGGATTCAAAAGTTGAAGGATCTTGAAAAAACAATTAAGTTTTTTTTTTTCAGTTTCCTTGCGTTCATTACTTTTTTCCAACTGTTAGTTGGCTATGTTTTAGTTCTAGAGGTTTTTCGATCGTTTTTTTTTCGCGGGCTGACTCTTGACTACGTTGATTCTGAAACGTATTCTGTTACTTCATTAGGCTATTGTTGCTGTATTACGCCAAATAAATCATCAATGGGTAATTCTGTTATTCTAATTAAATATTACAGACACAACGCAGGTGATTGGCATGCAGCAATGTCTAGCGCAGGCAGATCTATAAACACAGGTGGTGTACCAAATGGGATTTACGGGACAACCTCTTCAGCCTTCCAGCCTATGATGTCTTCGGTTAATTTGAATACAAAAGCACCCATGAGCATGACAGACGAAGAATTCAGGGCTCAATTCATACCCAATGCGCCGCCAGCAGAGCCGACGATGATACCCATGCAGGTACTATCGATACATTCAACAAAACAATTGAATGAAATAATCGAAATAAATTGACGTTAATTTTGAACTCAGTTTGTATTCTTTTTACTAGCACTAATCACAAAAGGCAAGCACCGGTTTTGGAAACACCCTTTGACTGTTGAGCAACTGTAACAATTAATATACGACTGAACGCTGTTTAAATGTCCAAATACTCTTGTACAAATGAACTACGCTTGACTGTTTAATTCCCAGCTTAATCAATTGTATAAAAATACTGCAGTAGGTTTTAGCCTATGTGAGTTAGTTTGACGTTTGTAAAAAAACGGGAAGCAGATATAGATTAGCTTGTTTGTTTTGGCAAGTGTAATAAAAGAGTTTTTTTTAGTACAACGTAGTGGAGGCTCTTAGATAGGTCGTGATGATTTTTTTTCTCAAGGAAAAGTTTTAAAGCTTGATGCTCAAATTTGCTTTTCCGCGGTTTGACTCATGATTTTTCTGATTGATCGAGCGGGGATTGATCGACTTCCAGCGGGGAAAAAAACTTTATCTTTCGATCCAGTTTTCTCAATCTTTTGTCAATCAACTGTCGGTTTTTTACTTTCCTGTTTTTACCCTTGCGAGCGTACAGATAGTGATTATCGCAAGTGCCAACAAATGATTACTTTTTTTAGCGAGTTAATGAGTACTTTTATTAGCGAGTTAGGAAAAAGTGAGGCATGCTAACTCGCTAATAAAAGTCCTCACTTGTTGGCACTTGTGATAATGAATATATGTAGCGTTGGAAAATACATAGCATCTGTTCTCTGCTTGATTTGAGGCTAGTGTTTGCTGATCGAGTTTGCTGATATTGTTTCGAGTTCTAAGTTTTTTTTGATGAACACATTCTTTTCGGGCTCAAATTTTTTCATTTAAGAATACTTTCTTTTCTAGCTCTATGATGGCTGCTCAAGTTTTGTCCGCTTTATGACCGCTTCGTTAATCTTTGTTGCCATGCTTATCAAGAGTCGATGAACGTAGTTCAGACTGTTATAAAGGTCGTGATGATTTTTTTTCGTTTTATTTTGAAAAAGTCACAATTCGGCCTGGCTCAAATTTATTTTTTCGCGGTTTGACTTCTGATTTTTTTAAATACGCTTGCGATTAGCAAGCGTTATCAAACCGGAATATAGATTTTTTTCGGGTTAAAAACTTGTTAAACAGAATAACTTGTATCTTACACAGGTAACCAATGTGCCTGAGAGGGCAAAGGTCCTGCCTGGGTTCGAACTGACCAAGACCTGTTTTTTTATACGGAAAATATTTTGTTTTTAATAAAATTGTCGGCTAAATATTTTTCTGCCTATCTGTTGTTGGCTTAGTTGTCACATCTTGGAATCATTTTTTTTTGCTGCGCGCATATTTCTTTAATGTTGCTTTTAGTGTTTGATGTACTATTACACTTGTAATCTCTTTTTTACCTTGATTGCGTAACTTCTTTGTTTTGTTTTTGTCTCGCTAAAAAAATTCCGCTACCCAAATTATTTCGGCATGTTTTTTATCGGCTAAATGCCCATTATTTTGAGTCATTTTAAGGGAGACACCATTTAAAGACTCCCCTGCGCACTTTCCAAGTTGGTTTTATATATCGATCGGTTGTTGAAGTTAATGATTTTTTTCTTTATAAGTTTTAGTTTTTCTCAGAAACTTTTACTGATTTAAAAAAAAAGGGTATCAGTTAAAAAAGCGCCCACTTCTCTGTGTACTTGCATACTCCCCTAGAGTCTCTTTTTACTTGACCCCTCCGTCTACAACCTTCCAAAAAGTCTTTGGGGGAATATTTGACACATGATATTGTTTTTTCTCGATTACTACCTTTCTCAAATCTGATTTTAGGGTTTCAATGAGTAGAACTGTTTTGAAAAGCTTCCTATATAAGTTGCTACGCCCCAATTTTTGTTACAGATAAAGTTATAGCCTTCAGATTAGTCAAATTTTTATTTTTGACCATTTTGTGAATCTTTTTGACTGTTCTCGAAAGCTAACCGCTCAAATCTGATTTTTTGGGTTCAGTGGAGATAAGGGGTAGTGAGAAGCGCTCCTGCATTAGGGGCCACTGATAAAGTTTTTCACACAAAAAGTTATCGCCCTCGGAAAAACCCTGCAATATCTGAGATTTTGAGTTCAAATCAAGGAACGGGTTGTGGGAAGCTCAATTGCTTATGCGACTACACCCACGTTTTTCTGACATCAAAAGTTATGGCCTTCGGAAAAGTCAAATTTTTGACCGTTTTTATAATTTTTCTCGGAAAATTTTTGATGTTTTAACTACCCTTCCAAATCTGAAATTTTGAGTTTAATCGAATTACAGGTTGTTTGAACCCCTTCTGCATAAGCAGCTGCGACCTATTTTTTCACAAAAAAAACCTTGTTTTTCGGAAATGTCAATTTTTTGATTTGCTGACCGTTTTTTGGACTTTTCTCGCTAACAATCCTGTCAAATCTGATATTATAGGTTTAATCGAAATAACAGATTGTTGAAAGCCTACCTTTATAATTGGCTATGCCAAGTTTGTTTAAGAAAAGAGTAATGGCCCTCAAATAAGTTGAAGTTTTGAAACTTTGACTGTTTTTGGGGAACTTTTTGACACAACGGGAAAATAAACTTTCCAATTCTCATGTTGGAAATTTAGGTAAGTCGTCGGACCGTTTTTTTCTAACTTTTGACCGTTTTTAGAAGCTTTTTTCGAGTTTTCTTATAATTACACAATCAAATCTGAGATGAGAAGTTCAATTGAAGGAACCGGTTGCGATAATTGTTCCTGCAGAAGCGGCCACTCCTTAATTTTTTGTAAGAGAAATGTAATCTCCTTGGTAAATTGATTATCTGAAAGTTTTTTACTCTTCTTGGTTATTCTAATAGAGAAATTACTGAGGTTTTGATCAAAGTCCAATTTTTTAAATCACATTTTTTGTGACGCATCAGCATAGCAAATGCATTCAATATCAAACACGTACCTCCAGCCGTAGCTGGGTCCCTAGTTGTTTTTTGTCGATACATACGATAATTTTAGTTCACCTAGTTTTTTAAAGTTTTTTTTCGATTTGAATTTTTTGCTAGTGTTGTATCGCAATTGGTGCGAAGCTCCGCTTTGCTCTGTGTATAAGTTCGATTACTGTGTTAAAAGGTAGGTAAACTCCACTATCGAACAGCGAAAGTGTAAAGGGCACGAGAAACGTCGACTTGTAGTATCGAAAGTGGACCTGCGTTCATTGAATCTTTTCCAACTCTCTGTTGGCTATGTTTTAACATTCGATTGTCCTAGTTAACACGTTTTTCTCAAATAGAATTTTTTTGACAAATTGCAACAATTTTGAAAATTATGGTAGATCTAATTTTTTCGGCCTGTTATTTTTCCTTTTTTTTCGACGGGTTTCATTTCATCTTATGACTACTAGTGTTTCATGCTACGTTTGTTTTGTATCGCGAGTAGTTTTATTTGTTAATTTGCTAAGCTGAAGGAGAATTAGCCTCTCCGGCTGCGAAAATGGAAATTGAGCGCAAAAAAAAACATAATTGAATGTCTCATGAGTGGATTTTAGTTTGAAGTTTTTTCAGCGGAAGAAAAATTATCTTTTGATACTGTTTTGTCAAAGTGAAAGGCTTCTTGAATTGCGTTTATTGATACTGTTTTGTCAAATTGAAAGTATTGAATTCCAAAGAGTTATACTATGATTGTTATACGAAAATTAAAAAAAAAATGAAAGAAAGTTGTTTTTATTCGGTCTGATTGAATTCATTGACATTTTCAACTGTCTCTTTGCTACATTTTGGAGTTGACATTTTTAAAAATTGGGTAGGCTTTGCTCTTTGTCAAAAATTGATAAAGTGTTTAAAAAATTGGGCCCTGGGATTTGCAAGAGAATCGAAACATTGAAAGTTTGGCTCACATAAGGAAAATATTCTGAACTTCTTGAAGGCCTGCTTTATTTTTTCTAGCAGCGTTGAAATGTTTTAATGGTTAATAACAAAATTTGCGTCAAATCTTGGGGAAAAAATTCAAGTTGTGCTTTATATACAGCTATATATGGCCGTAATTGAAATAAAATACCACGTTTGTTCGGAAACCTTTTCTCCAACAATTTTGAGTAGATTTGCTAGGGAAGATTTCGTACTCTCTCTCTCTCTCTCTCTCTCTCTCTCTCTATTTGACTATTTTGTTTTTAGAATGTTTTTGCTTGAAAAAATTAAAAAATTGAACAAAATCTTTTCTGAATTAGATTGGTGTAAATCAGTTCGGAAATGGGATCGGAACCATTAGGATTGATGATTTTTCCGAATTACTAGTTGAAAGTGTTTGTTGTTTCAGCCTGAAAAAGAGTTCTTCGCGGGAAGGAAGTGAAAAAACATCATATATTCGTGTCAAGTTGTTGAAAGAACTCAATTCAAATTTAGTTCAATAGCATTCTACCCTTAAATAACTGAAAAATTACAATGTAAAAATTTTGTAAATCGAAATGTGAATTACTAGTTTTTGCTGACTACAAACTAATTCATGATTTCATTGTTTAGTACTTTTTACATTGAGATAGTTGTAATTGACAGGTATAGCACAGATGTTCAACAATAAACAAAACACAGTAGTAATGTAATGGGTAGAAGAGCACACATAACATTATACACAAGGGGGATACATCAAAAGTAACTCAGCCTGGGGCGCAGAAGATAACCCCTCTTCAAGAAAGTTGCCAATAATTGCGATTTGAGAACGCATTGAGAAAATGTCTAGTCAAACTCACAGGGTTTTATCAGAAACAATTTAACTGCAAACATATATGATTTTTTTATACAAAATGCGATGTTCTTGAATTGCGGTTTTTAAGTATTGACATTAAGTTTATTATCAAAGTACAAGGAACAAATACAGAGTTTTGAAATGAACGCTGTTAATTAAAATCGATGTTGATTGGCCATTTTTTGGTTTTAAGAAGTTAAAGTTCGGTTACTGTTTTCTTGGCTAGTTCTTATTGAAACGGTATTCTTGAGTGGTGAAATTAACAGCATTATCAAAACCCTGAACATATGGCACTAAACATCTATAAGCGAGCGACCACATTTATTTCAAACATATGGCGTGATATTGTTTATGGTCTCAATAGGCTGGGGTAGATCTTTGATTTTCTCCGGGGGAGGAGGGCTGGTGGGTGGGATGATTGCTTTTGTTCTTCCAAAAAATATCATGTCTTTAAACTCGTAAATCCACTCTGCAATATTATATACAGGCTTTCTAAGCTCAATGATATAAAAATCGTTCAATACTGGGATAATTCTAAATAGATAATCTTTTTCTTGAAAAAATGCCTCCGTTTTGATAATCTTACTCTATTTGTTTTTCTCGAGGGTTCTCGTCTCTCAATACATTTTTGCCATATGTTACTACACGTTATTTTATACGTTATTTCATCTATTGACATAGTTTGAGACGTCAAGTCATACCATTTTTAGGCGAAGTAAAAGATCCAAGGTTTATTACGGTTGATCAACAATGAAATACAACGTTCGCGAGGGAATTACCTGGTCAGCTTTATTCCCTTGCTAAGTAAAGTACGTAAGCAAATGGGCTCAATACTAGACTGGGTATTTAACTTCGCCAATGTTTATAACAGGAATGCATGTAATGGCTATGTGCTAAATTTTGCGACAGTTCTAGCAACCCGCCTATCAAGTAACGCTCAATATTTTACGAGCAAAACTCGTCTAATTTACAGGACGGTGACGTCAATATGAAATGTTACTAGTGCGAAAAGAGTGCCTTTGATTAGTTGCGCAGTCTTGATTGACGGGTAGTATAGCAAGGTGCAATCGATGTGACGAAATAAATTAAATTAGATTGTCCTGAAAATGCGTTTTTCAGTAGTGATTACGAAGATAAAGTGTCGGTTGATTACGAAGATGAAGTGTCGCTAATGGTCGTTGTTAATATCAAATGTGGAGAAGAGAAGGTTATTATATTGTTATAAGCAGCACATGGACTTGCTTGTGGACCGCCTATTTTGCACTAGGAATGATTCTGTGGCTCTTTTTCACCCCCGCCCGCAAATGAATTTTGATTTTGAAAAACGATTTTAACAATTTAGGGGAGGGGAAGTGGAAAAGTGCCAATTCTTTTATATGAGGAATCAACACTCTTCTATGTCATTTTTCTTCTCGGGAAGAGTGATTGCCTCTTTCGCTTCTTCCTCTTTGTTCTCGTCAGATGGGACTGGCTCCGGATCATCGAACTTGTGGATACCCTGGACAAGCGCGGCAAAATAGACTGCGACTGCCAGGAGTCCACCGAGAATGGGTCCGACCCAGTAGATCCAGTGGTAGTCTGCGAACGAGCCCATGACCAACGCCGGTCCGAAGGATCGGGCAGGGTTCAAACTGCAACCTGTGTAAGGAGCCATGAAGAACACGCATGCCAGAACCATGAAGCCGGCAGAAGTGGCGGGGAACCCCTGAAAAGGGTGAAATTGAGTGTTCATGAACGTAGTCTAGACTTTTATATAGATCGTTAAAATTTAAGCTCGTTAAATAAAAAAATATAAATCAATATATGAAAATTTATATGCCATTTGAAAGTTAAAATTTGTTCAGTCTCCAATTTGATTTTTTTTTGCAGTTTGACTTTTGATTTTTTAAGCTTCGAACCTTTCCTTTGTTGAATAGAAAGCAAACTCTGCTATCGAAGCGCCAAATTGTAAAGGTCACTAACGTGATCAACTTTTAGTTTCAAAAGTGGATTTTAGATTTCCCAGAAGGAAAAATTAGTTTTTTCAAATTGAATTTATTTTACCAAAAGAGTGTCAATCTTGAAATGATCGTTATAATTGACGAGCTTTAAGGGCATATGTTTTGATGAGTTTTAAAAACGTATATTTTTTCTTTGAAATTTAAAAGTTTTCAAAAAAAACAAGTCAGTATTTAACGTTCATTGACTTTTCTAACTGCCTGTTGGCTATTTTTTTTGTCGAGCTATCGGAACGTTGACCCAAAGATCTTAGATTGTCAAGCGCTAAGCGAAAGGGTTTGCGGCAAATGAATTCACGAATTAGCCAATAAAATTATTTAATCTACTTGAAAATTACCATACATAGCTATTGTAAAAAAAAAAGGTTTATTTCTACAATCAAATATCCGATTGCCTGTAAATGCTGGGGAGTTCTCACTTAACTAAAATATTAATTAACTATTTGCTTCAGAGTATTCTTGAGATACAGTTTTTGTTATCTTACCTCGAAATCCTTTTTGGGGTCGGGGTCAGAAATGACTAAGACCAGCAGCACCAAAATCATGGTGCCGATGATCTCCACCACTACACCCTTGAACATGCTCACTTCGGGGCGCAGTCTGTTCATGCCCAAGTGAGTGGCCTCGATCCACTCCTCGGGTGCAATCCAGTACAGCAGACCTGCACCAGCAACAGCGCCTGGAAAGAAAAAAAAACATTAAAACAACATGCTACTGTTGAAGCTGAAAATGAAATTTGATAAATATGATTATCTCAATTTGCGTTTGGGAGAATAGATATATTCAAACTATATCACGTTCATTGCATCAAAAAATTGCATGTCTGAGTGCAAACTAATTAAAAAGGCTTAAAATGGTCGAAGTTAATTCGATGGGACCACTAACTATAGCAAAGCTTCGCAGTACAGGGACAAAAAAGGAGCGGCGGTGAAATGGTTACGTGGTTACGTCTCCTACTCTCAATCGAAAGGTCGGATGTTCGAGGCCCAACATTATCCGAACCCAACATGATTCGAAAAATAACCAAAAAATTGTAAGTAGATCTTAAACAGCGGTTCTCCGTGATGAGCTGAACAGCTCGTATATTAATCATTTCCCTTGTGGATAAACCGTCTTAAAGTATAGACGAGACAGGAAAATGATAGTAAATAATTGTGGGCTTTTTGACTTACCGAGCAGCTGCACTGGAATATACAGCAGGCCCTTCAGAATGTGGCATCTCCTGGCCACTACGAGAGAAATAGTCACGGCTGGGTTGATGTGGCACCCCGAAGTGGGTCCGATGATGTGAATCAGCGTCATGATGATGGCCGCGAATGTCAGACCTGGTGTGACCAAATTGTCGATGCCAGCCCCCACTCCCTCGTCGTACTCACTGCCGACGATATTCGACAAACCGACGTACACCATGATGAAAGTTCCGAAGAACTCGGCAAATACTGCTCGCCATAGTTTCATGTCAGTCAATTGGTTGGCATGGTGAAGTCTGCCTTCGACTGCATGTCTTCTGTGAAGTCCCATTTTGACGTGCGGTTTTGAAAGATGATATTCGTATTCCTTTTGCGTGTATTATATTCACTAGACTATACCACCAACTGCACCGCGCGTATAAGGACTGAAAAAGGTAAATTTTACGGAGGGAAGCTTGCTGTTTGTCTGCTCGTGTATAATCCACGTACTATCTTTATTCTATCTTCATTTCCCTCGCTAATATTTCTGCTTGCGCAGTTACATAAACGGGATTCACGTGTAATTTTCTGTGAACGTAAAGCTAATTCAGCTTTGTTTCCTGTCTGTAGAATCTATGTGGGAGGGTCAGGGAATAATTCTGAGTGTTGTCTGTTATTAAATGGATTACGTATTTTGTGGTGAATTTAACGGAAAACTGACAGCTGATGATTATGTTTCAATGTAATTGATTAAATATGTTTTTACTCTCAAAATTGACGTTTAAATCTATGGTGTGGTTTACCAATTAAATTGCAACTCATTTTATTCATTGCAATTACTTATGAAAGACTATCAAAATAATCAAGTTTAACAGAGTTACGGAGATGCAGATTATTTAATGATTATTAAAATAGATTATAAAATCAGACCACTTTTTTTTAAAAAAAAACAGCTCGAATTAGACCTCTATAGTACCAAATATGGCAACAATTCTTGTACAGCAAGTTAACGAAAAACGTGAACAACCTTTCTCCTAAAGTGAATGACTCAAATTTGTTCACGCCGGTCTGAAAACAGGAGGGGACATTCACCCGTTAGCCAGCGCGCTTTGTTGTTGCATTATTCAATAGACAATTCATTTCTCTCTCTTGTCTTCAGACTGAGAAGGCTTCAAACGGCGCCTGTTAGCTAATGCTGGAAATCGTGGCCAGTCAAATCAATAAGCAAAATGGTCAAAGAGCAGAATGGGTCCAAGAGCAGAAAAGTATAAAAAATATCAACTTTTATGAGCTGATCGGTAAATGAACTAAAATAATAGTCAATACTAACAAAGAAACTAATATTTTAAGCATAATTTGACTAATTTAATCAAGATTGTAAAAAAAAAATCAATGAAAAAAAAGTTGAGGAAATTATTCAATTCATGAGTAAATCATTCATTCTCTTGGTATTATAGACGATTCTGATAATTGTTTTATCAACTTGCCCGTATTAATCAGTAAAAGTTGATATTTTACTGTTTTTCTGCTATTGGACTTATTCTGCTCTTAGACCATTCTGCTTATTGCTCCTCCTCCGCTGGAAATCAAAAGCAAGAAATGACTAAAAGATTAATAGTGCGGATTGAGTTCAAATGGCAAATTGAAAACATTAGGATTGATATAAAATTTGACCATTTGTCCTTCTGAAAATTAGTTACCACAAAATAACGCCATGTATAATGTTCTCAAGTGTCAGTAAAAGTAGTGATAATTTTGGTTTTCTTTTACAGGAATTTATTCAAGCTCATTTTTAATTTTTCGCTGTTTGAAATTTGGTTTTTTAAGCTCAAGTCAAATTCATTTGCTAAAAACTAGACAAATTGCGCTCTCCCATTATGAAAGTGCAAATAACGCTAAGAAATGTAAAATAATTTTAGTTTCGGAAGTTGATCTCAATTAATCGTAATCGGGAACTAAGTTTTTTTTTCTGTAAACACTTTTTGCAAATCTTGTTAGAAATTTAAAATACGTGCAGTTATTTTCGCGCACTGTCAAGGCCAATTTCGTGAAATTTCAAATATTATTACCTAGTCATGATTAGTTTTTGATTTTTTTCAAATAGCGTATAGAAAAATTCGTATTAGTTTTTGTCTTAATTTTTGTCGATTCAATTTCCGTTTTTTTTTCTATATGCATTTATTTCTATATGAGTTTTTTTTAGTTTCTTCTTCAAAACATTGGTTTTTCCGATGTTAAGAGTTTTCATTATAACTGAAGTTTGTTCTGTAATTTCTAAATTAATAAATTCTGATTTCGAACATTTTTTTATTTAACGGTATCGACTGATGTTATATCCGTTTCCGAACATTATAGATCAATTTTTGTATGACTATAATTTTGTTTTCCTCTTAAAGGGAGTCGGCCCAATTTTTGTCGGCTTAGATGCCCCTCATTAAAAAATTCCCAATGTTTTCTCTGGCTGTCTATATAAAATATAGGATACGAAAGTTTGAAGTTTTTCAAATGAACTTGAGTATCGATTTCTTCCAAGAAAAATTTGACTCCTCACCTATTCACTACTTTGTAATGGAATGTTTTTGCTATATCGGAAATTGAACTGGCTTTATCATTGATCATTACAAACCAGGCTCGTTCCCACTTGGTCTAAAGGTAACGCGGCTGCCTTTGCACCTTAAATTCTGGAGTTGGATTCCCGACCGCAACTTGATTTTTTTAGTATTCATGAAATTGAATTTTTTCTACAGCAACAATGAGTTTCCGAACTCGCATGTCAGCTTGTTCTGTTTGTTTGATTGCGGATTTTAGTGCACTAAGCACAATTTTTATTGTGCTTGCGAGTGCTCTTCATATTGTGTATTTGTAAGTTTACTAACCCAGATTCGTATATATTTTTTTTCACCCAAAATGTTTTTCCGCTTAAACGGTTACAGCTTATGTTTTGGCTTAATTTGTTTTATACTATTTGGAGAGCAAGAAATGCCTTTTGTTGATTTGAATAATTCAGGTCAGTTGTGGCGGAAAAAAATAAAGAATGATGACCAACTTTTGTTTCGGATTTTCAAATCCGCGTTTTTTGTCGGCTTACTGGCTGCTCGGTAAGTACTGGAAATTTATTAATGGTTTTAGCTGTTTTTCTCTACTGTTTTTCTAAAATCGAATTTACCTTTTTTTCCAGAGTTTCTTTTATTAGAGTTTGTTCTTTTATTCGTTTCCATCCGCTATCTTGCAGTGCTACACCTTCGGTATATCGCAAGTGCTGCGAAGCTCTGCTTCGCTTTTCTGTAAATTTTCTAGCGGAAATCTTATTCATCCAGTTCTCATTTTTGATTAAAGCTGCAAGAAATTGAAAGAGCTTTAACTTATTTTTTTCTCCGAATTTTGACATTTGAAAAGTGTTCAAAATGTTTGAACATTTTTTTTATTTCCTTTAATTCATTGCTTTTTTCCAACTGCCTGTTGGCTATATTTGTCATCAGGTTTTGATAAATTTACTTTCTTGTCAAAACTAGATATAATCCGCGGAAGCCTAGCCTTTCACTATCAATTAGCTGTGCGAAAGTATTGAGTTTTAACCGAAGTGGGTAGCTCATAGATTAATTTCGGATAGGGTACACCGTCTGCTCGTCACGCTATCTTATTTTCGGCCGGATAGATTCGTGCAACTTCTTAGTCTAATACTGATCCTAATCTAACTCTTATACCTACTAGTCTCAGGGTGTTTAACTAGTCTCTGCTAGGCTCAATAGATCTAGAGTATACTGGTTTATTGCGGCAGCTAAAGTTCTCTTGGAGAGGCAACTAATCTCTAAGTTAAATTCAAATCTCTCTGGTGCTGAAATTACAAGTGAAATTAAAATAACAGCATGACTAAGAAAAGAAAACCAACGGTAGGCTGAAATTATATCCAATTTACCCAATTATAAAATGTAGTTTAGATCAGGTTCCACCCATCCGGGTTTTACAGAGTTTTTTAGAATTATCTTTCTGCAATTTGAAGGATGGATGTTGAACGTTGGTATTTGGAGAACATCATATTCTTGTCCGGTTCCTCTTGGAGAAGAAGTTCCAGGACGCTGGAATTAGGGACATAAAATCGTTGTGTCTTCTTTTGACAACGACTGTGATCCCCAATGAAATCAATCTGATTTCCAAATGATTTGCTATGACGGGTTTTTCTGTATTATGTAGAGAACTTGTTTTGTGTTCAACCTCGTCTGGGAATGGCGTGGAGATTGTGCGTGGAAGGGATGCCTTGTAACTCGGATCTGTACGTATACTTGAATATCGAGGTGGTCATTGGTCTAGTTCAATGAAGTCCTTTTCTGCGAAGTCAAGTCGTAATCTAAATCCTTTGAGTTGTGATTGTGGACGGCATGTCGGTTTTGCTTAGCCATTCTTTTGTTCGAGTGTGATGGGGTTATCTAGTCTTTGGATGTTCGTCTTTGTTGTTGTGTATTGATCTATATACTGCAAAGTATGATTAACATTTTATAAAATTTTGTTAATCCAATTTTTTAATCATGATTTTAGTTAATCGTTTTCACAAAAGCGTTTTGTTTTAGTTTGGTTATTTTGAAGAGTTACTCACTCTTGAGTACCTCATATTAAAAATAGAAGTGTGGCCACAAAGCGTGGATGTAGCACGGTGGGTTAGGCCGGCTATAGAGCATGCACAGGACGTCCTCTCTGGTGAGGTAGGCCTGGAGTGGGAGTATGATTTCGTGCTGTTTCTTTGAGAGGTCCTGTTATGTGATAACGTTTTATGTTGGGTTTATGTTGGTCTTTCTTATGTTAGTTTGGTCGTGTCCTTTTTTCAAAAATCAAATTGTTTTTGGTATGGGTTTGTCTTGCGACTTTTTTGTGTTTTATGATTTCCTTTTTAGACTTTATAATAGTCTTCAAAAGAACAAATTATCCAGTTTTAAACTGCGTGAATCCGGTTTGGGTACCGTTGGTTTTCTTTTCTTAGTCATGCTGTTATTTTATGATTTGTGGTGTTTAGTAAGCTGCGTTGGTTAGTTTGGTTTAGAATATAATTCGTTTCCAACCGGGTTAAAGGAAAGTTTAGAACTTGTTATCGTGTGTTAGAGTTGTTGAGTGTGAAAACTTGAAACTTAAAATCATTATTTAATCTATTCTTCGTGGGCGAGCTGTGCGAGTTTGGATAGAATTCTTGTGCGATTGAATGAAAATATCAAAAGATTAGTACTGCTTTCTCATTTTATCAATTTATTGCATAGAATTTGAATTTTACTGCGTTTGGGGGAAATTTAAAATTATAAATTTTCATCGTAATTAATTTTACTGCTTCATGGGGAAATAATTTATAGATTAATTTACTACATTTGGTATAATTTTTATTACATTATTTAGTGCAAGAAATAAATGAATTTTAAGAGAATTTAACAAGTTTGTATTTTTATTTTTGTTTTCTGTTTTGTAGGTAATCGTGGTGTGAAGACTAGAAATATAAATGAAACATTAATAAAAAAATGTTTAGTACTAATTTAAATTTATTAGTGAAGAGTATTTAAAATTATACTTACCTGTTAATCGTCTGGGAAAAAGCCGTGGGGGAAGATGTCGTGTATCATATCTGATGTTGTTAGTAATTTGGCTAGTATGCGAATGATGTTTTTAGTTTGGAGCAGTGGCCAAAGCAATTGAAGTGCTTTAATGGTTTTTAGTTCTTCGGTGCCTACTGCAAACTCGTAAGGTGTGTTATGAATGAGGTTATATATTTTATGATTATATTTAGTATTGTGAATGAATTCTAAAATTGGTATTTCTATAGGCTGGATAAATTCATGCGGGATAAGGAAGGGTCTGGATTCTTCGGCATTAAAGGTCTTCGTGATGGGGCAAAATATATACATTTGGGTTACTGGTTCATAGTTGCGAAGGATGCCGTGGAGGTTAGTATCTTTGATGCAATACCTAAAATTAGGGAAAAATGGTGATGTGTATTCTGAGTTAAGAAACTGAAAACGATGGTGTGGTTGTCTTGATGGGGTATGCAAATCAAAATGATTTTGCATGAAACGATAGTATGTATATGTATGGG